GTCTAAGTAACTTTACCAATATAAGTTTCTATGGTAAACCAGTTTTAAAATTATTTCTTCCAACTTAAAAGAATTTATCTTAGTAGAAATTTTGAAATATGAAATAGATGCAAACATTTTATTTGTAAAATTATTAAACAAGGTTAAAGTCAACAAACAAAAAAATATGTTTCCATGGTAATTTTTTTTGAGTTAAATTTGTAAATCATTCGCCAATGCAGAAAACAAAAAGGAGTTACGAAAAAAAAGACCAAAATATAAACTCTCGGCAGTTCTTGAAGTAAGCACCACGAAAAAAAGCAAATTCACAAATTGATTAAAACTTGTAAAATAATATATGTATATATATATATTCCTGAACCCAGACAGTTCTGAACTAAAGAATCCTGATATGAGTAAACGAGCAGTAAAGATAACACTCCAAACACGGGATTATTATTCTCCACACTTTTTTTATAGAAACGTTGATTTAAGTTTTACGTTTTTTTCTATTGCAAAATGCAGTTAGTTCTAAGACTCCCTCTCTAAAAAGTGTGCAATATGGCTGCAGCGTGCAACAACCAACAGCAACAACCATGTATTCTGTCTTAGCCGCACAAAAAACACTTGTTCAGAAGCAGAAAGGATCAGTAGCAGAAACAGAAGGGATCAGGAGTAAAAACAGGAAGGTTCAAGAGGATTTAGGACTAGGAAGCAGGAGGTATCGAGAGTAGGAGAGTAGGAGGGCACAGGAGTAGGAAACAGGAGAGTATAGAGGAGGAAACAGGAGGGGTCTGGAGTAGAAAATATAAGGGGTTGATGGCAAGAAACAGGAGAGTAAAGGGATGGAAACAAGAGGGTTTCAAAGTAAGAAATAGGAGAGTTCTGGAGTAGAAAAAGGGCCGGGAGGGTTCTGAAATAGAAAAAGTAGGGTTCAGAAGTAGAAAACAGCAGGATTCAGGAGAAGAAAACAAGAGGGTTCTGAAGTGGGAAACAGGAGGTTTCAGGTTTAAAAAACAGGAGGGTTTAGGAGTAGCCAACATGTCAGTTCGGGAGTCGAACAAAAATGTAAGTATCCCCACGATATTGATTTCCTGCTGTTTAATGCTATACTTCCCCACTAGGCAGAGACCTGCTTTATATCTAATACAGATTGTAGGGCGTCCCTGTAAACAGGAAAATAAAAACAAACATTTTCTTGTCCAGGAAACCCTGTTGTTAAGAGTGTGCTACCGGAAACCCTGTTGTTGAGAGTGTGCTACCGGAAACCCTGTTGTTGAGAGTGTGCTACCGGAAACCCTGTTGTTGAGAGTGTGGTACCGGAAACCCTGATGTTGAGAGTGTGCTACCGGAAACCCTGTTGTTAAGAGTGTGGTACCGGAAACCCTGTTGTAGAGAGTGTGCAACCGGAAACCCTATTGTTGAGAATGCGGTACCGGAAACCCTGTTGTTGAGAGTGTGGTACCGGAAACCCTGTTGTTGAGAGTGTGGTACCGGAAACCCTGTTGTTGAGAGTGTGGTACCGGAAACCCTGTTGTTGAGAGTGTGGTACAGGAAACCCTGTTGTTGAGAGTGTGGTACAGGAAACCCTGTTGTTGAGAGTGTGGTACATGGAAACCCTGTTGTTGAGAGTGTGGTACCGGAAAAACTGATCTCAAAGAAATGAAGTGCTTTGAAGGAAATAAAACAGAACATGGAAAGTTCGAGAAAAAGAAAATTGCACAAAGTACTTCGTTCGTACTTAGGGCCATGTAATATCTACTACCGATGCTGTGAACTCTTTAACTGTACAGGGGGACCCAGAAAACTGTGGAATAGTGAGGACTGTTTGATTACAGTTATGATTTAAAGTAGTCCAATGACCTTAAACACAGAAATTCTGCATTTTGCAGTGTACACTAAACCAATTTACTTAATAACCTGTGTACAGTGGTCACCAGAAAGCGGTGGAATTGTTGGCATATCTTTTTCTTTCTTTTAATTAAGAAATATCGCTTAAACTTTGTGATTTGTAAATTTGAATTCAGAAAACTGATCTTTGTCTAATAAGGTTGAAGACACATATATAAGAAATAAACCAGAGATCAGAACTTTAGATTATCTTGAAAACTTGATCTCGATATCCAGTGAAGGCACTTTTACAAATAAGGATCAACGGGATATCGAAGAGGAATTAGATTAATCCGCAGATCTGCATTGCTTGATCCAAAGATTAACTCAAAAGTTCTGATTTCAGTTCAAATTACAATTTTTTTATGACATTTCTAAATCAAAAAAGAGAGAGAGAGGATTCGCGACGTTTTAATAGTAATTCCGGTTACTAGCGTTTGAACGAAGCGAAATATAATTAGAGCCTAATGTAGAGAAATAGGGAGGTATAGAGATACATACAAATCAAATCAAATCAAATCAAATCAAATCAAATCAAATCAAATCAAATCAAATCAAATCAAATCAAATCAAATCAAATCAAATCAAATCAAAGAAAATCAAAGTGTTGGGGAAGGCTTCCATGGCTCTATTTCTCAGACTGGAGTTTCAAGTCCTGAGTGAGTAATGAGACTTCATAGATGACAGTTCAGTATTAAATCAGACTTTTTTCTGACATTTGTGGTTTCTTTCCAGTTCCTGGCTTTTATTTGCCAAATCACATCAAGAAGGCTGAAGTGAAAACCAGAAAACTCTAACATAGAATTACGAATTTTATCATGAACTTTAAAAAGTCGGATGAGCTTAAGATATCACTTGTGAAACAGACCAATTTCACTATTTTAGTGATTTAAAAAGAGTCTAGTGAAATTATTTGCTTTGTAAGCAACACCAAATATACTTAAGTATTGCTATAATGTCGTCATTTAAGGTACAAGAAAAATGAAAGGGGGTATAGGCTGAAACCTAAGCATTTTGGGAGTTGATTGAGACCCATTAGAGTTCTATCTGATGTTCCTGTCTCGAGAAATTGATATAAAACTGTGTCAAATTTATACGAAATTCTATATATATAAAATCTGAGAACAACGATATCCCAGAGGTATTTATTATATTATGAATTGTATCTATTAAAAATGAAAAATTATTAAATTCAAATAATATTAGGAGCAAACCTAAGTTTATTAGGCTCCTCTGGGATATCGTTGTTTTCCGATTGGTTGTGTATTTGCTGAATATGATCCGTTTAAACCTACTATTTTACTACACAATTTTATCTATATAGCTTTTTTTTTATAAATTTGACACAGCTTTATACTAATTTCTCGAGACAGGGCCATCGGATAGAACTCTTATGGATCTCAATCAACTCCTAAAATGCTCAGGTTTCAGCCTATACCAGCTTTCATTTTCAGATTTGATAGATGGTGAAATTTTCGAATACGACAAACGTAATTTTAAGCGACCTTCCCATTAGAAGAGAGTGGAATGTCCGGTTCACAACGGTTCCCTTTAAACGCTTTGACTGATCATGATTGAATGAGATATCAAGGATTTTACTTTGAACCATGCCTATTTTCCATCATGGTTACATTTTCTTGCAGACTTGTAGCTTAACAAATATATATGAAATTGTCAAAGAAGAACAATCACGATATCTTTCACATTATTATTAAGATAAAGACTGAAAGGGTACTGCTGTGAATCGTAAACAATCTAACAACTATTATAATATATTTGGCGTATTTTGTGAATTTTGATCCGTATGAGAACTTTCCAGTTTAACAGTTGTATTGCGGTGAGTATGCGAGTATAAACTGTTGAGGATTTTCAGAATAATAATATAAACATTCAAGTTTCCCTCCCCCACCTCCCTTGTCAATCATTCCAAAACTAAAGTGTTTCAGTTTATCCGTCAAGACGTAATATTATGTACAACTACTTTACAGGAAATTTACGGGAATTTTACTTTACTATGGGTTCCCAAGACCAATTTAGCCTACAAAACATAATTCGCTGAGCAGTTTGTTATTTTACATAACTGACGTTAAGTAATTTAACCTCCCTTTGTATCAAAGGGAGGTTATTTTACATAACTGACGTTAAGTAATTTAACCTCCCTTTGTATCAAAGGCCAGTAATGTTGGTTAAAAAGCGGTAAAATAAAATTGCTCAGAGAAAATATACAATTTTGTCGAACATGAAAATATACAATTTTGTCGAACAAAAATATACAATTTTGTCGAACATGAAAATATACAATTTTGTCGAACAAAAAAATATACAATTTTGTCGAACATGAAAATATACAATTTTGTCGAACAAAAAAATATACAATTTTGTCGAACATGAAATTAACTTTAATTTTCCATTACTTTTGGATTTAAGATAAAATGTATTTATAGGTAAGTGATTCTTATCGAGGTACTGTCAAGTGACATGTCGATTCACAACAATACATAAGAGACATTTTATCAGATGGATTATGATGACGATATCGGGGTTTCTCTGTCTTAAAATATTAATACTCAAAATATCTTTTCTTTCATCAACTGCATAGTACATATGTCCGTAAGTTAAAAGACAACAGCAGTCAAAATAATGAATGTTACGATTAAAAACAAGGAAAAATGTCCTTGAACTCGGACCTTTCTATATATTATAATATAAAATAAAGCAAATTTTTAGTAATACAAATGACCAGTTTAATTAAAAAACACTCCAAAAATATCCTAAAATTTCCTAAAAACAAATTTGACCAACTAAACATAACACTTAAAATCGTATCCAAACTAATATTTTGATGTAGAAAAATTTATTGTACGCGTAAAAGAAATGTTTTAAAATCATCTATTTCTTAAACAGCCTTTTACCACAATATCGGCTGTATTTAAAACTAAATATTCTACAATTTTTATATATTTACATGTTTGTACTCATTAAATATACTAAGGCGACATTAAAAATAATTTTATATCATATGATACTGTACTGTCCAAAATTTGTAATTAATTCAAAATTTGATATTTGATAATTTCACACAAAATTCGATATTTCAAACAGAAAATATAAGATCTTTTTAAAATTTACAATTTCAAAATTCATTTTTAATAAAAATTAAAAAAAAATATCATTTAAACTGTACAATATTTTTCCACTAAAATATAGAGATTTTCATTTGGAACTTTTTAATCTTAAGATTTCTCAATGAACTTATTCTGGTTCTAAAAATACTCAAAGAATGATCTAAACCCGGCCAAGAAATTGACGCACACCGAACAGATGATGACGAAATTCTCGTGGAATGTTTGACGCAAGTTTTCTTTATTCGTCATCGTCGGAGAAGCAGTTGAAGGTGCTCGCGAGATTCTGCGGATGTAAACTCAACTGAAACATTTTTAATATAAACATCTAACACACAAACACACAAACAAACTTACACCCTCCATAACGAACACAAACTTACACCCTCCAACACAAACAACAACACACAAACAACAACACACAAACTTGCACACAAACTCACTCTAAAACTTGCACACAAACCCACTCTAAAACATGCACACAAACTCACTCTAACACATGCACACAAACTCACTCTAAAACATGCACACACACTCACTCTAAAACATGCACACAAACTCACTCTCAAACATGCACACAAACTCACTCTCAAACATGCACACAAACTCACTCTCAAACATGCACACAAACTCACTCTCAAACATGCACACAAACTCATAATCAAACATGTACACAAACTCATAATCAAACATGTACACAAACTCATCAAACATGTACACATACTTACGCTCAAACATGTACTCAAACTTACACTTAAACATGTACTCAAACTTACACTCAAACATGTACACATACTTACACTGAAACATGTACACAAACTTACACTCAAACATGTAACGATCAAACGTGTACACAAACTTACACTCACAAAAGCGCACACAAACTCACATTAAAAAAACTCACGCTAAAAGCACGCACACAAACTCAGACACAACACACACACTCATTAATTTGAAAATCTCTAAGCGTCGGATCTAAAGGAGTTATGGCGTTGCACAAACTCTGGTTTTCTAATCCCTGTATTTTAACAATCCAAAATCGCAGGCCTTCGACCTTCGACCATAGATATGAATTCTATGAGATCAAATAATCTAAGCTTGAAAAATCAAAGGTTTTCACCATCAGGTTGCTAAATTAGGAAAATTCGAGTTTGTTGCAAAGACTCAATTCCTTTACTTTATAATGGCCTAGTATTATAATCCCCCCCCCCCCCACCTCCTAATGGAAAAATCAATTTTTTTCCAACTTTCAACTATTTAAAAACTATTTACGGAATTTTACTGAAGTTTATTGCAGAATTTTGGAAAATAAATATTTAAAGGGGAAAGTAAATAATTCTAAGAGGAAATTATATTATTTACTGGGAAAATAAATTATTTAAAGTGGAAATCAAATGATTTTCATTTAATATTAAAATTCTGTTGTAAAATAGAAGAAACGGACCTTGTTAATCATAGAGCAGATATTCTTGGATAACAAAATGTTCAGTCAGATTGTATAATTATATATGGATCTTTATTTTTACTTCTCATAAGTAATAACATGTTATTGATTTTTGACTAACACATCGAGTTTCTTCTATTTGTTCCCGACAGAATGTATGTTCTAATCTTGTACCTGTAATTCCTCCTCTTCCTCCTCCTTTCCTCCCGGAGTAGGGGATTGTTCCATCCCATCCAGGAACAAACGTTTATGTGGAGACCTTAATTAAATTAAAAACTAATTATAAATTTTATAATTATGAATTCTTTACTACAAATGTATAGGCCGTGTACTTCACCAAAAGTGCACCACATGTTTGATTATTATACAATGGTCAGTATGGATTAATACCATGATGACAACTTTTCATGAATAATATTTTTGTCTATGTTTACATGTTTATGTTTCTCTGCTGTTTGAAAGTCGTTTTTCTTGTAATGATATATACGAAGTTTGTAATCTTTACTGTAATTTATATGTAAACCGTAATAATTGTTCCTTCCAGTAGACAACTATCATATTCATATTCCCCCAGGCAATAATCCATTTTCATTCTATTTAAAACATACAATACCAAAACTTTAAATTAATTCCACAACAAAGCCAATATCAATTAAATTGAAATACAATAAGAACCTGACCTATACCTTATTTTTTTTTTACCACATACTTACCAACTAGGATAGTTTACTGCTCAAAGATGTTGTACAAAATGACTTTTATGTGATTTCATTCATATTTTTAGTTTATTTAGTTTATCTTTAAAATTTAATTACATCAAAAAGTTTTTAATAACTAACACCTTGTGCTATCATATTCCAATTATGATTAAAGGGACAGACCGGCTATATAATGTAGTTGAACCGAGTATGCAGTGTTGTGGACAAATTCTTTAGGATTCATTTGAGACATAAATAACTATTTAAAGATCTGTAAATCCTGAGTTTGAGCGCAAAGTCGTCGTTCAAAATAGTATTTTTGGGTGGATACGTTTTCAGAATTGCTTTTTTTAAAATTATTACATAACGACGACAAAAAAATGTAAACAATATTCTACAGTAAACTAATTAGTTGTTTAGGAACAGATTGAGAAAATAAAAATTATTAACATCAAAAAAAATTAATCTTGTTCAATTATTAGTTTCTATTTTTTATTATTCTAGTTTCTCATTTTTCACAAAGATTTTCTGGAATTACTATTGAAAAGACGACATTTAAAGATGTAGAAATCTGTGAATAAATTGAAAGAAAATAAGAAATTTAATAAAATGATGAAAATGAAATAATTGATTCTAGCATTGATTTATTGACAAAGTTCTTATGAGAAATTTGTTCCTAACCATCTAAATAATTTACTGTATAATTTTTACTTCATTTTTCGTCGTCTAAAAATTAAAAAAAAAAAAACCCGATTTCATGATTTTGAACGTCAATTATGTATTCAAACTCAGTAGTTATACATCGTGGAAACGTTTTAAATGTCTCAAATGAATCCTAAAGAATTTGTCCACAACACTGCATACTCAGTTTAACTACCTTACATAGCCGGTCTGTCCCTTTAAGATTTTCACCAGAACCAATCTTAAATTACCTAAACCCTGATCTAGTGAGTAGAAGAGGGGTTCTAGCAACTGATCTTAATCTACTCCGCGGACCTAGTATAAAAATAATTTGTGAATAATACGGAATAATATTTAAATCGCGATGATATTTTTTTAGAAATAATCTATTACCCATACTTAACTAAAACATTTTAAAATTATTCGGTGTTAAAAAGAAATAATATAGGCACCTGGACTTGAAGCAGGTCTTCTTAGAGGCGAGCTCTCAGGTTTCTCATTTGTTAGTTCAGGAGAACTATCCCTACTCCAGCTACTAGTACTCTCCTAGATTAATATTTGTTAGTTCAGAAGAACTATCCCTACTCCAGCTACTAGTACTCTCCTAGATTAATATTTGTAGAACTATCCCTACTCCAGCTACTAGTACTCTCCTAGATTAATATTTGTTAGTTCAGGAGAACTATCCCTACTCCACCTACTAGTACTTTTGCTAATTATATTTTGATTTGTCCGCGAAAATATTAATTTTTGTGATGAAAAAGTTTTTTCTCAATCTGTAACAATATGACAGAGCTCCAGATAGCTAATAGTTTTCCAAAATTAATTGATTTTTAATATTAAATATAATTCACTATGTACATCTGGTCCAGCGTATAATGTACAATGTACACAGGTGATAATATTCAGTTTTAATATTCTGTTCTCAGTGTGTACTGCGCAGATTGCCGCAAACTTGAACTCCACGAGTTGGTGAACATATATTTGGATTCGGTCCAACACAATACTTCTTTCTATGGCTGGGGTTGTATGTCATGTGGTAGTAGAACATCCCTAAAAGTCTGATTTGATTTGATTTGATGGGTGTTATGTTGATTACATGGGTATACTGTATATTTGCTCGAATAATTAATCCCCTTTCCCCTTCCCCCAGATGTTGTGTATATTTTTCCCCCCAGATGTTGTGTATATTTTTCCCCCCAGATGTTGTGTATATTTTTCCCCCCAGATGTTATGTACGTTTTCCCCCAGATGTTATGTACGTTTTCCCCCCGATGTTATGTATGATTTTTCCCCCCGATGTTATGTATGTTTTTAAAGTTTTTTCTTTTCACTGAATTGGGAAAAATAAGTTGTTTTTAAGGGAAAATAAATGAATTTTGGGAAAAGTTTCATTAAGAATGATAAGGCTTGCCCCCCCCCCCTTCCCCAATGAAGGGAGGGCAGGGGGAGGTAAGTCAGAAAAATATACACTTCTGGTTAATTACCTGCAGTGGAGCTGCTAGATCTGAACCTGCACTAGATAGTGTACAATCATGTTCATCATCAGAGTATGCATCAGTAACCTTCAAACACGTATTTTATAACAGGTTTGTCTACTTTAGGATTAGGATTTATTTATTTCGCGACACTTGTCAAATTAAAGGGTTCCATGCCCGATTGATTCAATGAGGTTAAAGCAAAAATGATGGAGATATATTTGTTTTTCTTTCGCTATTGAAAGTGACTTTTAATTTTTAAGTGTTATAAAGAAATGGTTGGGAAACAGGCATTGCCACTCGATAACTGGAGGTTCACTTGAAAATACGTCTATTGTCCTAAAGTTTTTTTTTACTGATCTTGCCCACCAAATACATTTTCAATAATAATTAGAAAGGAAATAAACCACATAAAACAAAGCTCAAACTTCAGTTCTATTAAACTTCTTATTGTTAGATAGCTAGTATTTAAAGTATTTTTTAAAATTTTTATTTTAGTGGAACACCCTGTATTACCCATTGATTATTGGGACACCCTGTATTACCCAATGTTTGACTGGTTCTGCAGGTGGAGTGTGTTCTAGTTTAAACTTGTCCTGGTCAGGTCTCCAGGAGAAGAGGTTCTCCAGGTAGCCTAGAAACCAGGTGAGGAGGAGAACTAGAGGATGAAAAATTGAGAGAAGTTTACTGATACAACGCTGAACCAGAACCTCACGCTCGCGTCGTCTAAAATGATAAAACTATTTTCTCCTTTAAATCTTGTGAAAAAGGTGAGACCTCCTTCAGTTTAATTCCTTACTTAACTATATGGTTACTCTACCTGAGGGCCTTGACTACTGATGGTAACTCTACTTGAGGGTCTGGGCTTCTGATGGTGACTTTATCTGAGGGCTGGGCTACAGATTGTAACTCTACCTGAGGGCCTTGATTACTGATGGTAACTCAACCTGAGGGCCTTGGCTACAGATGGTGGCTCTACCTGAGGGCTGGGCTACAGTTGGTAACTCTACCTTAGGGCCTGGGCTACAGATGGTGGCTCTACCTGATGGCTGGGCTACAGTTGGTAACTCTACCTTAGGGCCTGGNCTGAGAATCTGGGCTACAGATTTTAACTCTACCTGAGGATCTGGGCTACAGATTTTAACTCTACCTGAGGATCTGGGCTACAGATTTCAACTCTACCTGAGGATCTGGGCTACTGATGGTAACTCTACCTGAGGGCCTGGGCTACTGATGGTAACTCTAGTATCTGGTTTACACTGGGCCTTCTATCTACACAGAACAAAGATTTAAAAAAAACAAAGAAGACAAAATGTGCTGCAATTTCTGGGAAGAATATAAACGTGAAAATTGGCAAAAACAATTAAGTTCTCCGTTTACAAATGGCAAAAAAACAATGATATTGTCAAAGTTTATTCAATAAAGAAATGAAATTTCCGTTTTTTTCTTTTCTTCTGATTTTTTTAAAGTAACTAAAAAAGAGAACTTTCTTTTTATACCTGGATCTTGTGTCATCATAAGCTGAATAACTCGTCTTAATTCAGGAGATAATTGAAGAGTTAAAGATAGATCAGGACCTTTACTCCTAAACATATGAGGATTAGGACCTTTACTCCCAAACATATTAGGGATCAGGACCTTAACTCCTTAACATATTTAGGATAAGGACCTTTACTCTGATATATATTAGGGATCAGAACCTTTACTCTTAAACATATGAGGATTAGGACTTTTCCTCCTTAACATATTAGGGATCAAGACCCTTACGCCTAAACATATTTGGGATCAGGACCCTTACTCCTAAACATATTTAGGATTAGGATCCATACTCCTATTTACATATTTAGGATTAGGACCCTTACTCCTTAAATGGGGTAATTCTTAAAGGGTCATTAAAGGGTTACACACATATTAGGGATCAAGACCCCTTACTCCCAAAGATATTAAGATTAGGACCCTTGCTGCTAAACATATTTCAGAGTTGTATATTTTTATGTTTGGGTTTGGGAAAAAAGGAAAAAGGGGTAAGGGAAGGGGAAAAGGGAAGGAGAAAGGGAAAAGGGAAGGGGAAAGGAAAGGAAAAAGGGGGAAGAGGGAAGGGAAAAGGGGAAGAGGGAAGAGAAAAGGGGAAGAGGGAAGGAAAAATGGGAAGAGGGAAAAGAAAAAGGGGAAGAGGGAAGGGAAAAATGTGAAGAGGGAAAAGAAAAAGGAGAAGAGGGAAGGGAAAAATGTGAAGAGGGAAAAGAAAAGGGGGAAGAGTGGGGAAAAGGGGCAAGAGGGAAGGGAAAAGGTGGAAGGGGAAAGGGGGAAGGGAAGGTAAAAAACCAAACCAAAAAAAAACAGTATCAGAAATGGTTAAAAAAACCTGAGGGGAGGCCTTGAAGTTAAGCTTTCTACAGCACCAAAACGCTCAATTGAATTACTAAAATCCAAACATTTTCTTCTACAAAGTTTGCGCGGGCTTCAGTAACCCTGTAAATATGTAACATATTAGGGATAAGGACCCTTACTCTTAAATATATTAGGTATAACTCCATATTAGGGATTACTCCTAAACATATTAAGGGTCAGGACCTTTACCTCTAACCATATTTAGACCCTTCCCTAAAACTTTACCCTAAAAAGGCTGGGATGGATGTGCGTTTGTCCCCCCCCATTTTTTTACCCTATCGTTCTTTTATTATAACTTTTGCTTGAATCTTTCAAAAGGGTGATTTAGAGGTTCAAGTGAAGGTTTGAACCTTGAAAAACCTACCTCAGCTCTCTCCACAGTTGACCCTTGCTAGGTAGGTCAAGGTCACAGGCCACCTCAAGTATAGTCACACCAAGGGAAAATATGTCGCAAGACTAAACACATCAAAACAAGGCATAAAGTAGGTTTTTTTTTATTAGGTTTCAGTCAATAGAACATGGAAGGAGAGTTTTAGAGTTAATACAAGGACGGAACAGTTTTTATTTCAATTTTGAATCTCTTGCAATACATATATACCCCTTGAGAACCTAGAGCTAAATCCTACCTTGGATATATTACCCTTAAGAACCTCTGCAATTAGATCCTACCTTGGATAAATTCCCCTTGAGAACCTCTGGAGTTAGATCCTACCTTGGATATATTCCCCTTGAAAACCTGAAGTTAGATCCTACCTTGGATATATTTCCCTTGAGAACCTCTGGAGTTAAATCCTACCTTAGATATATTCCCCTTAAGAACCTCTGCAGTTAGATCCTACCTTGGATAAATTCCCCTTGAGAACCTCTGGAGTTAGATCCTAACTTGGATATATTCCCTTGAAAACCTAAAGTTAGATGCTACCTTGGATATATTCCCCTTGAGAACCTCTGGAGTTAGATCCTACCTTGGATATATTCCCCTTGAAAACCTGAAGTTAGATGCTACCTTGAATATATTCCCCTTGAGAACCTCTGGAGTTAGATCATACCTTGGATAAATTCCCCTTAAGAACCTGGAGTTAGATCCTACCTTGGAAATATTCCCCTTGAAAACCTGAAGTTAAATGCTACCTTGGATATATTCCCCTTGATAACCTGGAGTTAGATCCTACCATGGATAAATTCCCCTTGAGAACCTCTGGAGTTAGATCCTACCTTGGATATATTCCCCTTGAGAACCTGGAGTTAGATCCTACCTTGGATATATTCCCCTTGAGAACCTGGAGTTAGATCCTACCTTGGATATATTCCCCTTGAGAACCTCAGGAGCTAGATATTTAGAATCCCCTTCTCTAAATCCTTCTCTATCCTGACTAGTTAGATCAACTATCAAACCAAAATCCCCCATCTTACATCGTCCATCAACTCCTACAAAACAACACATAAATTCAAATCTAGTGTTATGAATACCGCCATTTTAAGTTAGCTACAAGTATATGGCGATACTTTTTACAAAAAATCGCATTTTGTATAAGTTATGTTATATTCAAATAAATCCTTCTAGCAACCTTTGTCATCACAAGCAAAACTGAAAAATAAAAAATTAAGTTAAAAAAAACCGGATTTTTGACTGGAAAAATTTGTTTTTGACTTTCAGATGAAGACATAGGTTTTAGCAAAGATCAGATTATGCAAAAATCGCAATTTAAATAGTTTCGGCGTATCTAAATAAATTATTTCTACAAACTGTCTGCAAGGCAATTTCCACAGAAGGTTTTAGGACAATAAAATAACATTACAAATCTCCAACTATTAGATGAAATTTAATGTTAAAATAAGACATACACATTTAAATACCTAAATTCTACAGTATAACTTAAAAGTAATTTCAAGTGACCATTCAATTGATGAGTGGCATATTCCATTTCTAACGGTACCCTCAAAAGCTTTTTCAGTGATATATCCATTTTTAATCGCTTACAAATTCAATATTTTTGTATGGCTTGCCCATTTGTATCTTAAGTAATAATAGAGAAGGAAGAATAATGTCGTTCCATATCATCATGAGAAGGAAGAATAATGACGTTCCATATCATCATGAGAAGGAAGAATAATGTCGTTCCATATCATCATGAGAAGGAAGAATAATGACGTTCCATATCATCATGAGAAGGAAGAATAATGACGTTCCATATCATCATGAGAAGGAAGAATAATGACGTTCCATATCATCATTTGAAGATGAAGTTTTCAAAGGCACTGTTGTTAAATGGAGGGTCACTTGAAATTGGTCAACAGTCCCTTTATATTTGTGTTTACCGAAGAATATATTGTCTGGTTTAATATCCATGTGAATCAAATTATGATTATGAAGATGTTGAACTGCCTGATCAAATAATTATTAAAATTCTATCTATTAAAATTGAAGGAGGGACTGATTATTCGACTCAAACTCTAATTTGATAATCCTTATATATTCGCAAACTGATGTCGTAGACTAACTAGAGATTCTACTACACCAAAAAGACAAAGATATCCTCAGGTTGCAAAGATATAGAAACTACGTTGTTTAGTGGCGAGTAATCAGTGCCTTTGCATAAACTTCAGTCTTATTGGTAAAATATCCTGGTGTTGCTTACAGAAAATACTTTTTTAGAAGGAATTGCTGACCCCCATGTACAGTATCTGGTATATCTCATCGCTCAATAGTACAGTTTAAAGAAAGAAAATAAGAACAAATTCTCAGGCTAGTTTATACAGTCTGAAGACTTTCTAGTCCGCAAACTAGTGTCTGTAATTGTAAATATGAAATACATTACTGCTTTTATCCCATGACCATAATTGGTACATTTATCGTTATCATTTAACTTGTAAACAAGTTTGAAATATACATTATAATATTATTATTATTACAATCTCTTTCAAGAAAAAAGTTTTAAAAATATAAAACGTTGTAGATGACGAGAAGCGTCCTGAATTTTTAAAAAAATTATTCCTGAAGTAGATCTACTAGATATCCCCAGACCAGACTCTCTCCAATATTATTATGGGTTTCACAATAATCCTGAACATGAAACATTTTTTAACCGAAAAATTTGCTTGTCTGTTTGTTTTCAATAAACGTAAAAACGGCTGAAACCGATAGAGTCCAAAACTTTCCAGGCAATTCCCATGAACCAAGGGAGGTTTATGACAGATCCGAGTTTTAAATATTTGCCTTAAAAATTTCGAAAGAGTAACATTAAACAAAATCATCTAATTGTATTGCACGAAATGCGCAACAAACGGAAGAGTGAAGATTAGAAAAAGGAGCAAAGTTAAAATGACAACGGAAAAAATGCGTACAAAAAACAAGGCCTCCTCCCCCTCAAAAACAAAACAAAAAAATGGTTAGTGGTTTCCGACTTTTGAAGAAAATAATGATTTTAAAACATCAAATTTAAATCTGAAATTGAATTCACGTGTTTCTGAAGAGTTCCCCAATCAGAATTTGAATCGTTCAAGGTGTTCTCGGGTTATGATCGGACACAAACAAACAGACAAAGATTACTACTTCTATATATATACTTTGGTTGTCTGTCTGTCTGTTTGTTTGAATCTAATAAACATAAAAACGGCTGAACCGATCGGGCCCAAATTTTGTGTGAGATTTGATGTGAATTTTGCCTCTAACGAAATTTGATTTATAAAATTTTGAAAATCAACGATCTTTTTCTCATAAAATCCGCGAATTTTTTGTTTGTTTTTGTTCTACAATTTATTTAAAAAGAAAATGTTTACAAATGAAAAAGATGGGCGCAAGGCGCCATAAAAGCCTAATTATATATATATATAGAGGGGTGTATACAATTCTTGTTTATAATTTTTTAAAAATGATGTCTTTATATTCATCAAATTTGGGGAAGGAAATAAAAAAAATGAGAGGGGGAAGAATAAAAAATTGTAATTATATACACCCCTGTAATATATATGTAGATAACTAACCTGTAGTGTTCCATTACAAAGTTCAAACTGTTGATATAATCTCCCCTCCTCCTCCCAGCTAGAGTAGAACTTGACAAGATTATTGTGCACTGGTAGAAACTGATGTTTTCGAACCTTAATAATAACAAGTGCATAGCTTTGCTAATGGAATATTAAAGCTTAACGAATATATTACTCGAAAACCCAAGCATTTTCTGCAAGCAAATTTTTATTATTATATTAGCCTTTTACAATTTTTCAGAATAATACATTCTTTTTAATTTTTCTGATTAGTTGAGAAAATCGCAATTTAGAGCTATAGAGCCATTAACGATCTAATAGGAGATGGGACACCCTGTAGTTCTCAACTTGAACTTGAGATGGGACACCCTGTAGTTCTCAACTTGAACTTGAGATGGGACACCCTGTAGTTCTCATGCAAAGTATTATGTGAGGGGCAAAGTATTATGTGAGGAGCAAAGTATTATGTGAGGAGCAAAGTATTATGTGAGGGGCAAAATTTTCATGTAAGGAATGTGAAGCGCAAAAAATTAGTTGTAGGGCAAAAAATATCTTAAGAGCAAAATAACAATGAGAGAAACAAAGAATAAAAAATAATGTTTGAGCAAACCTGTAAACTGTTCCAAAGTATCCTGCTCCTATCTCTGACTCTACTATAAAAGCCTGCTGGTAATAAGACTTCTTTAGTCTGGTATCATACAACTTCGAGTTTAAAGGAGAACCTAAAAAATAACTTTTAAAAAGAAATTGAACACTTGGCACAATTTTTAGCTTTCTAATACTAATATCTTTGCAACATAATTGTGTTAACTTTAGGTATTGGTTATTTGATTCAGCAAATTCACCGGAACATTTTTGAATTTCGTGAAAAATGTATTTTATGAACATGCCTTAAAATTCCAAGTGAAATACTATTTTGGTTCTGTAAAATGAGTTTAGTAAAATTTCACAAAATTTTACACCTCTAGGGTACAGTCCCTTTTAGAGAAGCAACTACCTGTAACTAGTGTACAGTCCCTATAAAGAGAAGCAACTACCTGTAACTTGGCTTCCATCAGGACTATCTAAGAAGGTAACTGCCTGTGCCTTGTACAGTACATTCGTCTTGAATATTCGACTAAATACATCAAATATCTATAATATCAAACAAAATAATTGGAGCACTAGAATCTATCAATTTTATATCAGTGCTTAGGATGCGGATAATAATCCATTGGATCCGGAACATGTTGGCTTCCTGGATCCGATCTGGATCCAAGGAGCAAAATATCAATCAAAAACTGCAAAAAAACTTTTTGCTCTTAAAACTCCTATCTAAACGGTTATAAACAAGAGCATAAACTAATTTGGATCCGGATCCATTTAATTTCAGTGCGGATCCAGGATCCGGATCCATTTTATTCCAGTGCGGATCCAGGATCCGGATACGCATCAAAATTAAATGGATCCTAAGCACTACCTTTTATATTACAAACAAAGACGCACTATTAATGAAGCAGTAACGAGGTTGCAGTAGTAATAAGGACGAACATTGAGGATGCTCTAATCATGAAACCCCTAATCAGATCAAAATATCATTTATGAATAATAACACCCTCTTGACGTGGCCTGATGCTATTGAGAGCGAACATGACATACAAACATCCATACATCGCAACTTTATATAATGTGATCCCAGATTTTATGTTCATAAAGCCTGTATCTTAATGTGAATTTTGTTATAATATTTTGTAAATCCTTAATGCGTTCTTTAATAAAAGTTTGAAGAAGATTTTATGTTTCTAAATGCTGTAATTTTTCGGGTAATGTAATATAATTGTCTTAAAGATCAGAAAATACATCTCTATTATCAATGAAAGTTCATGATCATATTTTTACCTTTTTGGAGGACAAGATTTAGCTGGAGGCCTTGGCGGACGCTTGAAACTAAGATGGGTTCCTCTTCGTTCCTTCTTGGTGGAAAACGTCTGTGGTTCGTCTCTGAAATATTAAATTTTCTATAAAACTTTATTCTAAATTATAATCCAGGTGACGAAAAATGGAAAAATATTTATTCATTAAAGAGATGAAAATATTGCTCAGATAAAAAACAAAAAAATTAATAATAGAAGGGAAAGGTATTAATAGAAATAAGAACTGTGTACTAAGCGAGAACAAATCTTCAACGTCTGAAACATATTTTTAAGGCAGAAACTTTTAATTTGAAGTGATTAAGTATACTGAATCCGTGAAAACAGCTGGCTTGTAATTCTTGTAATTTCGAGTCTCTAATTGCTAAAGAAAATATTTCTTGTATACAGATATCCCAAAAGCATTTAAATGATCCATCGGACTTCAGATGCCGATTAATGCTTTTTGAATGGATTAACAAAACATTAGTTTCCTAGTTTACCTAATACATTGCAGTTTTATCCAATAATAAAATAGGTTTATGTGAGGTTACACATAAATAAGGGGCGTAGTAAGCTGGTCAGGAGGTAACATGAATAAGGGGCAAGATAAGTTGGTCACAGAGTTTACCTGAATAAGGGGCGTGGTGAGCTGGTAAGGGAATTTACCTGAAAAAGGGGCGTGGTAAGCTGGTGGGGAAGTTAACCTGAATAAGGGGCGTGGTAAGCTGGTGGGGAAGTAAACCTGAATAAGGGGCGTGGTAAGCTGGTCAGGGAGTTAACCTGAATAAGGGGCGTGATAAGCTGGTGGGGAAGTTAGCCTGAATAAGGGGCGTGGTAAGCTGGTCAGGGAGTTTATCTGAATAAGGGGCGTGGTAAGCTGGTGGGGATGTTAACCTGAATAAGGGGCGTGGTAAGCTGGTGGGGAAGTAAACCTGAATAAGGGGCGTGGTAAACTGGTCAGGGAGTTAACCTGAATAAGGGGCGTGGTAAGCTGGTGAGGAAGTTTACCTGAAAAGGGGCGTGGTACGCAGGTCATGGAGTTTACCTGAATAAAGGGCGTGGTAAGCTGGTCAGGGAGTTTACCTGAATAAGGGGCGTGGTAAGCTGGTCAGGAAGTTTACTTGAATAAGTGGCGTGGTAAGCTGGTCAGGGAGGTTACCTGAATAAGGGGCGTGGTAAGCTGGTCAGGGAGTTCCTGGCTGGTGGTGGATTATTAGGAGTAGATATTGAAGAGGGCGTTTCGTTCTTTCTATCTGCTGGAGTACTTGCCTAATAACATTTGCAATCAATAAATCAATCTATCTATTCTTGATCCATCATTAAATCAATTAAAACTCTACAGTTGATCTATTAATAAATCAATTAATAATCGATAAGTAAAATATTGTAATTTTTATCTAAATTCTATCAAGTTCCTTCTTTGTCTTTGATGCATAAATCCTGAAGTCACTTTTATAGAGTAACTGCATGTAACTTTTCAAACCTTGATATCCCTCTGTGCTTGATCAGTAAAAGGTGAAGTGTCTAAGTTGTCCAGTTCTAATTCTACCATTTTATTTAATCTGAAAACATTAATTTATTTCAAACTCAGGAGATACAACGGTCAGAGTATACAAAATATAAATTTTACTGTTTAATTTATTTTGAAACTAGTATTTGTTTAATGTTTAGGGGAGCTGGTAAAAATATAATTGTCAATTACTAATGATCAAGTATTAGTCAAGCAAAATAAGATGCAAAAAAAGTTAAAAATACAAAATTTAAACATAAAAATACAATGAAAAGGCTTGAATCTTTCTAACAAATTATCCGGTAGCAGGTTAAATTGAATTTTCTACATCAATGATCATAATTTTGTTATTAATACTAATTTTGTATTAAATAGTAAGTAATGAAAACGCCTATTCGATATCTCTTAACTGTACAAAGATAAAGAGAATATTGAAATGTTGAAAAACGCTTAGAAGATATTTCTAGACGTCACTGTGGACAAAGATACAAAAATAAATCTCTTAAATGTTAAAAAACGCTTAGAAGATATTTCTAGACTGTACAGTATACACAAATTCAGAGAATATATCTCTAGACTGTACAAAAATCTACCATACATATACGTTGAATTTATATCAAGATCCTCTAATGATATTAAGAAGGTGTATCTCTAAAAATGTATAATGATATCTCTCGTTGTCAATTTCAAGCAGATATCTCTAGACAGCTTCAGCCTTCTTTATTTTAGTTTCTAGGATTGTAGTGACAGTATTGATATCCTTGGATCCGTCCAGCTTAACGAACTCCGTATTCCGGACCAGGTGGAGAACCAACCAACCATCACTCTCTACACACAGCTGACGGAGATCCTCTACACAGATTAACAATTAAACAAAGTTTTGTTACAAGCACCGCCCCCCCACACTATGCTTCATCAGAATATACGTGAAGAGGATTATAATTCTACAATTCTACATAGTTAGAAAAGAATTGACTCTACGGGGCGCGGAAAGGATTGAACTTACTAAAATCCAAACCTAATATAAGAGAAGACTCTACGGAGCCCGGATAGGATTGAACATGGAATACTCCTACCTAATATTAGAGAAGACTCTACGGAGCCCGGATAAGATTGAACATGGTATAATATAATCCTACCTAATATAAGAGAAGACTCTACGGAGCCCGGATAGGATTGAACATGGTATAATAATATAAGAGAAGACTCTACGGAGCCCGGATAGGATTGAACATGGTATAATATAATCCTACCTAATATAAGAGAAGACTCTACGGAGCCCGGATAGGATTGAACATGGTATAATTTAATTCTACCTAATATAAGAGAAGACTCTACGGAGCCCGGATAGGATTGAACAAGCTTCTTCACAACAAACTCCTGAGTCAAGGAGACTTTTCTCTCAGATACGAAAAGAGATCTAAAAAGGGTTGAGAGGTTAAAGTTTCATTTTTTAAGAGTCAAGTTAAACAATTTTTTTTTAAAGGGATTGTTGACGAAATGTTAAGTGACCATCCATTTACTGAGTTACATGCCAGATTCACATCTGAACCTTTAAAACCTGCATTTTAGTAAGATATCGTAGTTTGTCTCTCTTAAAAGGTATTCCGTCTCTCTGATGCATTAATCCGCGAAACACGTTTGTGGAGTAACAGCTACTTAATTAGCATTTAAAGATAAAACATCTAAGAAATCTCCCTCAATTTTGTTAATCTAATGGTTTAAAGAGCACTGTTGTAACTCTTTAAATGGAGAGTCACTAAAAATTTGGTCGCCAGTCTCTCGTTTTCTGTATTTGTTCTCTACCTGGTTAATCTGGCTAGTTGGGGTAATCTCTTCAATTGTTTAATTCTCTTGATTTCTCCGTGATCTCTTGTCATCTCTACACGGGCCTTGTTCGCCTCCTGGATAAAACAAGGAATTAATTAACTTAATAAATACGCGTTTTTCTTCTTCTGAATGTTAACGAGTTTTCTCAGATATTCCGCTTTTTATCCAAATTCTGCAAGTTCCCCTTATCCAAATTACTTTTCCGCTTATAGCTCTTTTAATCTAAAAAGAACGTGAACTCACTAACGAACACTCACAATGAGCGCGCACTAAAAAGTGACATACATAAATAATATGCAGCATGACAGGATTGAAATCCGTATGCAGTCTGTAAAATGTATTGAACTCTGTCTTTTGAAGAAATGAGTCTTTGCCAAAACTTAAATCATTTATTTATTTTATCTTTGTAACTTTTGATATTTCGAACTTAGATTATCTAATCTAATAGAATTCATAGTTTGAAATATCAAAGGTCTAAGACATTGAGGTGCAAAGATATAGGGATTACAAGACAAGAGGTTGATTCCTTTGTAGAATAAATACCTTGGCTCTGATCATCTCTAACAGCTTAGGATTAAGACCCTTAAAGGCTTTAGGAACTGGAGGTGGAGCAGCTACTGGAGTTGGAGCAGGAGCTGGAGCTGAACCTTCCTGTATTTTAGCAGCTGCATCCTGTAGACTCTCCGCTAGTTTAGGATTAATATTATAGATTTGATTTGCTTTCTCTAGAACCTCCTGAGCGGTTGTAAACTTTTCTTCAACCTAAATAGATATCTATATATATCAAATAAAAATCTCTGTTTGTTTGAGTGTCCGATCATAAATCAGGAACCCCGCCTAAAATTTTGACTGAGGAGCTCGGTAGAACCACGAGAATGTTCTTAGCAGGGTGAGTCAAAGACGAAAGTGGGATTAGTGTTGTCTCCTTCAAAACTTTTGTGTGTGTGATCTTCTCCTATATGGTATTTTACCTGATTGGTTTAGAAATTATTTTTTTTTTGGGGGGGGGGGCAAAAAAAATCCTCAAACTTTTTAGCCCATTTAACTTTAAAGATTCTTAAAAATAATCCTATTTAAAGTGAAAGTTGTAAATTTTCCATAAATTGTTTTTAAAATCAATCAAAAACAGCATAAAAAATCTCTATGCATGAGCTATTACTTATAAATATCTTTATTAACATAATAAATTCTACATCCCGCAGCAAGGGTTTAAATCTTACATTAGGTTTGGGAGGAAGCTCCACAGTATCAATCTCACGACAGGATTCTACATCAAAGGATCTATGCCACCTGGTTAGCTCACTGTCATTCACCAGGATAGGAGGATCCAACCCACCCTAAACAATTCACATTTAGAGGAATATTATCTACAGGGGTATATATTATGAGGAAAAAAATGTAATAATGGAAATTCTTAAACGAGATGAAATAATCTTGATGTATTCTTTAACGAAGGCCGAAGGTGAGTTGTGCATGTTGTCAATACAAAATAATTAAGTTAATATCAATATTGTTCTATACTGAGAAGATCTATATAAGGAGCGTGTAAGAATGAATATTCTTCAACTAGTGTAAGAATTTCTATTATTTAATGCTTGGAGCGTGTAAGAATATACATTCTTTCAAGCTCTGACCGTGTAATAATTTCCATTCTTACACGGTCTTAGCGTTATAGAATGAAAATTCTGCACCTACAGTGTAAGAATAAGCATTCTTAAACGCAAGGAAGCGAACAATATTAAAATTGTTCCTCCTGAACCGTGTAATAATGGGAATTCTTACACGATAGGTTTACTACTATGGAACCGAACAGATATGATATAATATATATTATTAAGAAATGATCTTTGATGAGCTTGGGGAAAAAAAGAAAATTGGAAACCAAGAGGCAACTTCTTTCATTTTCTTTGATACATTTAACCCAAAAATTCATTTATTTCCCCCAATTGAAGAAATAAAAACCATTAAATAATTCAAACATAATCAAAATTATTTTTAAAGAGAGGAGTGCAAAATCTGAACTATCATTTTAGGACAAACTACAGCCTGAAAGAAGAAGGCTAAACCAGTGTGATCCACTCAAGAACTAATGATTAAATAATTGAGAACATTTCCTTTAATCCTGTCAATTTTCAAGTTGAAAGAACATCAAAATCTTATTTTATCTGTATTTAAGAAAGCTAAGATATAATGTCAACCAGATTTTGATCAATCTGAGATGGAATTTAAAGAATTTGAGCCGCGGTTTAAATCCACCAAAACCCGGTTTAAATTAAGTGCCGGTTTAAATCTTGAAACATTTGATACAATTTTAAGTGGAACCAACCATATTTAAACCGCGGCTTAAATTTAAACCGCCGCTCAAATTCTTTAAATTCGGCCACTGTTCATCTTTTTTCTCGATCATGAAACAGTAAACCTAAAAGGCACAACTACACTATACTTAATCGAAACAAGAGAGCTTAAACCATAACATATAATTAATTTTTATAATTTAATGTGCCTCTTGAAACAGATATTTTATGCTTTTACAAAGTTGTCATATAATGCTTCAAATCCTTTTATCTGGTCGTAAGATTTCGCCAGAGTTCACATTTTAAAATATTGGATTTTAATGTTTTCTGTCAAATAACTTTATCTGGTCACAACATTTTACCATTCATCACATTTTATAAATATATCATGCTTATAATGTTTATAGTTTCAGCTTCGCAGCTTGTTGATGATCAAGAAATAAACTCTAAAACTAGTCTCGATTATTTGTGTGTATGGGGTGACGTATTAACAATATTGTTCCGACGCTGAAAATTTAATTGAGAGAATTTCTTTTTAATCTTTTAATTTACCAATAAATGCAATTTACATTTAGAGGAATGCATCTTTTAATGAGAAATATTGTTTGATCTTTAATGTTTAACTTTAACTTATCCCGAAAAACAAAACCAAAAAACATAACTTAGTATTTTTAAAATACCTAAGAGAATATTAATAATATAAAAGCATTAATACAATGTTGAGATTTTAAATTTTACCAAGAAGGTTCTATGTTGATCTTTGACTAACTGGAGAAGAGAATTATGAAATATTCCTCTACGTTCCACCAACAGCTCAGGGGTTAACCTACCAGCACTATTCTTCTCCCTGCAATCAAATCAAATCAAATCAAATCAAATCAAATCAAATCAAATCAAATCAAATCAAATCAAATCAAATCAAATCAAATCAAATCAAATCAAATCAAATCAAATCAAATCAAATCAAATCAAATCAAATCAAATCAAATCAAATCAAATCAACTCTTACATCAGCTATTAAATTAAAAATAGCTTTCGGTATTTTCTGAGAGTGAGTGGTTCAACTTTTATACAACTTCGCTCGGCTCCCTGGCCAGTCCTAATCGAATGTATCCAATATTTTCTTGTCAATTTCCAAGTTTAAAAGGTCAAATTAACTTACATGGCATCAATATCATTAGCTCCGAACTCTGTGAGAATATCCTTCTTGAAGTCTAGGTTCGGAGATATCCGGAGCTGATATTCATCCTTCTTCTGACCAAACTTATTTAGCACCTGGAGAAACAGTTTCCGATATAATAATTAAATTCATCTATAATAAATGTTTGGTTTATTTCACATCTGTAAAAGGAACGATTACTCCTGTTACTTTGGTCTAAATAAAATTAATAATTTGAATTATCAAAGATATATGCCATCAGGTTACAAAGATATAAGATATAACAGACGAGTTTATGTGGAGTAATCAGTTTTTTTTTATTGGTCAAATCGGTCCTAGGACTGATAATGATAATGTTAGCAAACACAGAAATACATTTCCTAATCTGAAGTTGTGCATTGCAATGGGCAACCGTACCCTGAAGAGGTCGAAACTACTGTGTGTGGGATCGTTTATCGTGTTTGATATCCAGTGTGGGCACTTTTAATTTGAAGATAACTGCTTGTTTCCTTTATTAAAGTTATCCCTGCTGGGTATGATCACCACGGGATATCGATGAAGAATGGAATCAATTCCTAGGGCTGCTTAAGATTCACAACACAAAATTTCTGACCTCAGTTCCGATTTTATTCAATGATTTAATGTAGATTTAATTTCTAGAAATGTTAATCAGTTTCTAAGAATCCTGTTTTTTTTTTGGTTAAGTGTGTTTGTGAGGGGGGGAAAATCATACCTTCTCCCAGGCGTACAGATAAGCTTGTGGAAACACGCACTTTATCTGCTTGAGAAACTTCTCTCCAAAATTCTTCCTCATCATGTCCTGGACAGCCTTGGCGAGCTTGGAGAATATGATCGGCTCCCTTCTATTGAAGAGCATGGACACTACCGTGTCGGTAGATCTAAACACTTCAGCCAACATCCTGAAATATATAAACTGGATTTAAATATACAAGACAGCTTAAAGAGACTAAAGATGATGCAATTTTTCTTCTTCAGAATTTGGAATTTTCAAAGATAGAAAAACGACGATATCTTCCTCATTGTAACTCTAATAAATGTTGTGAATCAGACATGTCACTCTACACATCAAAGATTACTTAATATATATAAATCCAATTTAATATTTTTAAATATAAGCCAAAATTTTGGTATACCTGTAGCTGTATGGTAAAACAAGGGTTTTTGAGACTGGGCGTGTCAAGTAGTGGTATCTCTCATAGGCAGGAACCTTTCTAGGGCTAACCTTCACCCCGCCCACCGGGGGAACCCGGCACATTTTGCTGGGGCTCGCGGGGACACGTATTTCAATTCCAGTCTTGGTCGGAGACGGAGGAGGGATTCGAGCTGACCTACGTTCCTTCAGCGGATCCAGCTTTCCAGCATCAGCTTCCAGACTCGTCGACTTGGCTTTCAGTTCTTTCAGACTGATTCGTTTACCTAGAGTAAGCAAACATTTTTGAGATTTTTGAAAAATAGAGGAATAGAACATTTAATCTTTATAAATCAAAATTTAGTGATTGTGAAAACGTCATGTATTTGAGATTATCACAATTAAAGGTACGTTTGAAAAAAAACAAGTTACCTAGTTTCTCTTTCAATTCCTTGGGAGTCGATTTCAAGACGTTTTCCGAGGCCCGATCAAATTGGGCAACAGTAGAACGTTTAGGTTTTCCACAAGCAGCACTTTTCTCCTCGTTAGCTCCTGGTGTTTCATCCTGGAACAAATTCTTGGAAATGTCTTTTACCCTCCTCGCCCCGATCAATTCTTTAACAGGAGTTGGAACCTTGAACCCGGATACAGTATCTCCAGTAGATGAGTTTACTCCACCTCCTTCCAGGATACAACTAGGAGCCTTCTAAAAACAGGAAATACATTTGCACCGTCGAGAAAAGATAAATTAAAGTAAAATTTTCAGGAGTCTTTTTTTTCCTGGAAAATACCATATTTATGCTCTAATGTTAAATTTAATAAATTACAATGTATAATTTTTTTGTCGAATTTGACTTCTGGTGGAAGAATTGATCTTTTGAAGGGTTACGTGCAAACAGATGTGAAACGTCACTCAAATCGGTAATTTTTCTATTTGTAAAATCAATTATTAACAAAATACGAGTGTACATGAATTGATGTAAACCTACCTTTTTCGGTGACAGAGCACTGAGTTTTGTGAATCCAACGTTTCTATTAGGTTTGCTTGTCTCCTTCTTCCAAACAAGTTGTTTCTTAGCACTAGAATTAGTTCTGCTACTACCAACGGTGAACTTGGCCTTGTCAGTGGCTGATGGACTGTTTCCGGTTTCACGACTAGATCGTTTACTCTGACGAGTATTTTCGGATGCATCTATATAAACAATATCTATTTATTTAATTATTTTATTATCAATAACAAATTATATAATGTTGAAAACCGATTGTTTTTTGAAGTGGGTTCTTTCTCCACAATACTGCAGAAAAACATTTACGAATTTTCGGAAGTTAACACGTTTAAAGCTGAAAACAACAATATCTTCCACATTATTTATCAGATAAAGGTTTCAATGGAACCGTTGTGAATCGGTAAGCGGCATCTTTGCATGGTCGCTTGAAATTACGCTTGAGATCCATTTTTGATTGTCCAAAAATATGAGCTTAAATTGGGAGAAGAGGGAAGGGAAAAGGGGAAGAGGGAAAAATGGGAAGAGGGAAGTCGGAAGGGAGAAGGGAAAGAGGGAAGGGAAAAACCAGAATAAAAAATATATAAATATTATAAATATATAAATAAAGGGTGCCTTAAAGTTGACCTTTCTAGGGCACCAAAACGCTCTATTATAATACTAAAATCCAAAAATTTTCTTTACAATTTGCTCTGCCCCCCCCCCATCCGCAGCAAACTTCTTCGAAGTTTGCACGGGATTCAATAACCTTTAAAATATAATTCTGAAGGGGGGGGGATATGAGTATCACAACTAATATACACCCCTGAGATCCATATAATACATATATTTGCAGGTGTTCCTTTAATAATTTTGATATATTATTTTACCAAAATTGAAAAATGTTGCTAACGGCCATTCACTTTGGAACGGGGGGAGGGGTGTTCTAATAAAAAATGCTCACCTCTGTCGGTAGTTGCTGGAGTTTTCGGAAGAATAGCATGCTCATCCGTAGCTGATGTTATTTTATCAATTGTAGTTTCAACAACTTCAGGTAAAACAGTCGAATCCTGTAAATACAACACATCACAAAAATAAACCCATAAGTTCAAAGAATGTTAGGGTTTCCATATTTTTCCGGATAAATTTCAAAGCCTTACGGAATTTATCCTGAAGACGTTAAAAATAATAAACCATAAAAACCTTTGGAAATTAACGACAGAACCTTTATCAACCGAAGTTCAAATAAAATGCAGGATGAATTCCATATGGAATGAAAGCATGTCTCACATCTAGCATCTAAAGGCTAGATTTATTCTGAAATTGTTTTTAAAAAGTTCCATCATTTATTTCCAATAGTTTTAATGGTTTATCATTCTTTACTAATACAGAAGCCAATTACGGAACCAAATGGTTCCAAAAAAAATTTCCTAACCTGACCAAACATGACCTAGGGGGGCTGGTCATGTTCCAACCAGTTAGGTCTCCTGACATAACTCAACCAATCTCGACCAAATCTGACCTTATAAGTGGATTGGTCAGGTTAAGACCAGTATGAAACCAGTTAGGTAACTCGACCTAACCCGACCTAAACTGACCAAACACGACCTGGGGGACTGGTCATGTTTCCACCAGTTTGGTAATCTGACGTAACCCGACCTAACCTGACCTATATCGACCTAATGGGACTGGTCGCACGATGTCGCTGGTTTCTAGCGCGAGCGCTCGGCCAGGACAGACCTTCAATTTCAACAATATGTGATGTATATTTAGGGTTTTATTATAGGTAATTGAAAGACATTCTGAGCCGATCGCTTCGGCTAAGACAGGCTAGGAGGCCGAACGCTGCCGCCGGGACAGTCTGCAGACCTTCTATTTCAACATTTCCCCCCTCCTATCAATTTTAAGTACATGGCCAAAATTTAAACTATTTTAACCAAAAAATATGTGTTGTGTACTATTTGAGGGTTAGGTCAGGTTAAGATAATTTCAACGCGCTGTGGCCAGAAACCTTATATTTCAAGAATTTTCAACGAAATGGGTGTATATTTATAGGGTTAAGTTAGAAAGACATTTCGGGCCGAATAGGCTATAGGACAGGCTTGCAGGAGGCCGAGCGCTGCAACCAAGATTGACCTTTTATTTCAACAATTTTCAACAAAGTGTAAATTTAGGGTTACCATGCAAAACTAATAGGAGGGAGGGAGGGAGGGTGGGGGGCCCCGAAATCGTTCTCTCTAGGAAATATTACCCAAATGAGATTCAAAACTTGGCAAACAGAGGTTGAATATTTCTGGGCCGAGCGTTAGTGGCTAGGGTATAGACCTAAGTATTTTTAAAAAATTCAATATTCAATCCTACTTTAAACTTAAAAGATTAAACTTGATAACTTAATTAAATATCAATATATTTAAGAAACAGGATGGGAGACATGTATCCCCGATTGATGGTGGACAGGTGGGGAGGTAGCTTAATGATAATTCTGTTTAACAAGTAATGTAAATTTTAAGACATGTTTTAAGAATAAACCAGTGGATCTAAACCGATTTTTTTTTCGTTTACGCTGTTTTTACTGTTCATGTTTTTAAATTAATACTAAGCTGCTCCAATTTTCTATTTTAATTTAAACATCTGTTGTATACAATAAAAAAACAAAAAATTTCCCGGATTTTTTAAAAAAAAAATCGTGGATTTCAAATATTAATTGTTCATTTCAACTATTTTTTTTTGTTCATTTCAACTATATATTTTTATGTCCATTGAACTACTTTTATGTAAATTTCAACTATTTTTATGTCGACATTTGAACTATTTTTTATGTCCATTTGAAACGGGAAAGACGAAACATGATCAGCTTAGCAAGACGCTAAGCTGTCATGTTTCGTGGGACACCATATCTAACATTAAATTCCTTAGCTTTGAAGATAATTTTCTTGTATGTTAACATAAAAGTGAGCAAAAACATCCTTGTCAAAAAACTAAAATATTTTGAGACCTAGAAACATATCTAGCATAGCATTCCTGAGCCAATTAAAGAACATATAACAATTATAGCTAGGGCTGGGCACGTTCCTGGTGGAACGATCGTTCTTTCCCGAGAACGAATGGAACGATCCCATCGTTCCGAAAAAAAACGAACGCTTAGAAAGCGTTCTTAAAAATATTGGAACAATTAGTAAAAGAACGGAACGGGAATTGCTTGAAAAGAACGGTTAAAATTGTGAAGGCGCTCTTATTATCAAGAACTTGTTCTAAGTTGGGAACGCATTTTAAATTATGAATGTGTTCTAAATCCTCTAGAAATAGTTAAAGATTTTTTATTTAATCACCTGACCAACCTCCCCTCCCCCCACTTTAAACCCACCCTCCCCCCCTTCCCCAGTCTCTGCTAAACTAACAACACTCAGACCACACAGCCGGTTTCAGTTAACTTCTGTATATATCGTACATATTAAGGATATTAGTACTCCCGCTCTCACAAAATTATAAATTGCTCAGCCCAGAAAGTATCTAAGCTTATTCTTTTCACTCTAAATTTAAAATATATAATTTGAAGTATTATTTACGGCCGTGAGGAACTTTTTTATTAAAAAATCGTAATTTTTTTTTACTTTTTAACCAACTCTTTTAAATAAAACTTTTGTCTTGGATGGAATTGTTTGTTACTAAGAACGCAACGGGGGTTGGATAGTTCTTGATTAAGAACAGAACAAGCTTCAACCGTTCTTCAACTAAGAACGCCAAGAACGGAACAGAACGGGAAGACCGTTCTTCTATACCCAGAACGGAACGGAACGGTACGAGAACGGAACGACAATCATAATACAAAAAAACAGGTTAAAAATATTTTAGCCTTGAGTTAATAATATGACTTTATTTTGTGTCAAATAAATAACAATTACAAACATAAATCAAACGCAATTGTCACATCAATGGAAATCAATATTTTTTCCCAAATAAATTTTTTTTTATTTCGGTTGTGTTTTAACAGAAAATGGTTCTGGTTGAATGGTCTCTCCCCTGACAAAGCTCATGAGTAAAGGTAGAACCTTAACTTCACCAGTTTGTTTAGCAAGATGGTTCTGAATAGATGCCGCAATATCATTAGATTCTTCGCGGCGCTGCGCTTTTGTTAGTTTTTCCGGCATCATTTCTCCAGTAGAGATTAGACCGCGGCGACCACGTTGTGCTTTCAAGAAGTTTCCTGCACCTGATCTACCTTGGTAAACCTTGCCACGGTTAGGCACGCTTAAACTGTTCTCCTTGGCAACTTCAACCTGCAATATTTAAAACTTTGAAATCTTTTAAATACTACAGAGAAACTTAAAACGGATAAGACGACTAGACGGAATTTTTACAATGTTTTCCCTTAACATCCATGATTTCCTGCAACTACTAACTTGTTTCTTTCTTTGTCAATGCATTTAGTAAGCCTTCAGACTATACCAAGACTTAATTAAACCTAGAAATTATCCTATTTTAAGAGTTTCCGGTCGTATTTAAAGTCTCATTCTTTGTATTTCCGTTGAATTACACAGAACACACAGATTAGTGTGGCAAAATATGCAAGCTGAATCTCTTGACCTGATTTAATGAAAAGTATTCCAACTTTGTCTCTGCGGTTCAAATACTTCATCATATAAATTTAATTAGGTCTTATATTTAATAGGGAGAAAAAGTTAAACCACATTGACTTAGTTCAACCACTTCTCACTCTTGTCCACCAGTTCAAGTTAAAAAGAAGTGTTTCATCTAATGCTCACTATTCATCAATAATGATTAAAAAAAATCTTCAGATAAAGAAGCTATAATTTTAAATATTTTAATGCGGTTGTGAGAAAACTAATCCTACCTTATGTCCAGGGGAGCTGAGATGAAACTGCATTATTTCTTCATTGGATAAATTAACTTTACACAGCTCACATCTAAATATTAGAGCTTGTAAATTGTGTTTATTACATGTTTAAGTGCTATTTCAATAGCTCTGGGTTGAATGTTCCGCATAGATATTCTGTCCTAATTTTGTTAAGCAATCATGTTTAAATGATCCTTTTAGTTAATAATCATAATTTAGATTTAACAAAAAGAATGTTTGTCAAAATGAAGGGGAAATTTCAAGGATGGTTTTAATTAGATTTAATTACCTGTATATTCCTGGGTTAAAACCTACTGGTTTTTTTAAGATAAGAATTCCACGTGGCGGCCATGTTGGTTTCTCAGGGTCAGCTGTATCATATAAATCAGCTGATCCAGCAAGAACAGCTTCCTTGGCAGCCTCGGCAGATTTCTTAGCTGTCTAAATAATTGATTACTTAATAATGATTATCATATGTATATAGGTTATAATAATTTAATAATTTAATAAACTAATTACATAAATCGGGGGTTGAGGGGTAATAATAAAGGGATTTTTAAACTTTTAAAGAATGGGACATGAATAATATTTGTGTACCTCTATGTCTGCACTGGCCGCCATCGCTTCAGCAAAAGCTCGATCATATTCTTCCTGAGCTTCTTCTTCTATCTCTGTCTTCTCAGTTTTCACCTAATTTTTTTTTTAAATCATAAATGTGTAAAAGTACAAATTACAATATTAATAATAAAAACATATATTATTTTTTTCAATGTAAACTAATTGTAAAATTGTAAAATCAAAATAGTCCAGTTTCTTTGTTTGTCCGATCATAACTCATGAACCCCTTGACCGAATTGCCTCAAATTTTTATTGATGAACCAGGTAGAACCACGGGTATGTCCTAAGCTTCGTTGTTTTAAGTTGAGTAAGTTGGTCGTTTTAGGGAAAGTGAAGCTATTCTGAGTTGAGCAGGTTTGACTTGAATAGGGAAAAATTAGTTTCCAGGCAGAGCTGGGTTCCTAAACAAGCATGGATTGGAATTACCTGAACTTCTTGTTTGATAAGGCTGGGTTTAACTACATTAGTTAAAGATATCGGAGCAGTAGCTGGTCTAAATATTTGAAAAAAAATTGTACTAACTTTTTAGATAAATGTTCAGATCTTTTAGGAAATTACAGAAGTAATTTTGAACCTTTCTGATTTTTTATTTAGTAGTATTAGAAAAAGGAAACTTGCAAGTTTAAAGTGCCCCCCCCCCCCAAAAAAAAATAAGTTTTGGGTAACCCAGTTTCTTTTAATTAACAATATATGCATCGATCTTAAAAATCTGGCGTTTTTTCTCATCAAGTCTAAAAAATTGAAGACTGAAATTTTTTTTAAATACACATTTCTCGGAAATTGTGTCATTAATGTGACTTACTTTACAACCGAGACTCCCCTGCCGCAAGGGGTTGGTCGCATACCTCCTCGTTTCTTCATCTGTGCAAACTTTTTCCTATGCTTGGCTCCTGAAAATTAAAAAATTGAAAAATGTTAAACTTATCACTAAAATCAACAACTTTTGAATCTAATGGCGGACATAGCTGAATTAAAAAAAAAACAAGCTACTTTATTTCTGAAGATTAATGTTAGTTGGTAACAATAACAGTTTGATAATAAAATTATCAAATGGCAGTGTGAGCGTAAATTTAAGTGACCCTCCATGCAAAGATGACCTTGCCCGATTTACAGAGGCACCCTTGGAATCTTTACTAAATAAACAGTATATATCTTGTCCTTTTTTTAAGTTCAGCGTTTCCCATTTGTTTCCTCGCTTTTACTTTCAATAAAAATGAATTTTTAAAATTTAAATAAATTATTATATGTATTTTGTGTCTTGAATATAAAACATAAGACAAATTTAGGCCGGCTCTTCGAAATTAGTCACAAAATAGGTATTGAATATAGTTTTTTAGGTGTATTGTGTATATCTAACAACATATGACGGTATATCTTGTAAGGGAGTTTAAAGTACGCTTTTTTAACAAAGAATAATAAAATATTAATCTTAACAAATGTCAATCAACAAATGTAATCATGGTTGGAATCAATCATCCATATATATATATAGCAACTCTGCCGGGTGTTTACATAAACTAAAACTCCTTTTTTTAAAAAAATCACAATCGAATGCAAAAACCCCTTTAAAATTGATATTTGTGCTTTTATGATAAAATTTTTTAAATGCATTTATATGCTTGTATTTTTGTGAACATCCTGTGTGCGCATTTTTACCTATAGGCTCAAGGTTAAGACTACGTCTTAAAATCTAACTATGGAATCTTGAAAAGATGATATCAGCAGTTGATGCCGACCCTTGCCCAGCTCAAGAGTGTACAAATCAACTCTGTACCAACAAAAAGGGAATTTTATTGACATTAAACAGCTTTCCAAATTTGGATTTATTTTAAGGAGCTTCTAGCTGCTCCCCTACAGCAGCAACCTTTAACAGTCCTGAACCAGAAAGCTCCAGGATCAAGGATTCATCTATACCAGCTTCTAGCAGGATCCCTTAACAGTTCTGCACCAGAGAAGCTCAGGATTCTAGGATTCATCTATACCAGCTTCTAGCAGCACCCCTACAGCAGCATCCCTCAACAGTTCTGCACCAGAGAAGCTCAGGGTTCTAGGATTCATCTATACCAACTGTCCAGAAATCAACTCCCCAATTTAATAACGTCCCCATATATTCCGTAATACGTTTTCAATACATTTCAACCCCCACCATATATCATTTAATTAGACATAAGGTCTAATAATCTAGTAAAAAAGTAGGTACGTTTGAGTTAAGAAAAGCCGTCTCTGAAAGAAGTCTAGTCAGTCATAACCCTGTGTTGGAAACCCTATTTCTAACGATATTATCTAGATTCTAGAATTCTTTTACCTGTCAAATGCGAGTTAGCGCATTCCTTTGAATTCATCCGTGACCCGCAGATTGTGCATAAAAAGTCTCCGCTGAAAATTTATTTGATTAGCTAATCTAACACTATGAAAATAATTTTATTTGCTTTTTTTATTAATTTTTAGAAACCTACTTAGGTTGAACTTCCAGTAAATCTTCTGGGTTTGTTGGTTCCTCTTTTATAGTCTGCTGCACAGTTACTACCGGCAACTCCTAATTCAAAAGACAGCGATAAAATAGTCTCCATTTTGAATATCTTACCCAAAATGAAAAATATGCCATTTTTAATATCTAACCCAAATCAAATCAAATCAAATCAAATCAAATCAAATCAAATCAAATCAAATCAAATCAAATCAAATCAAATCAAATCAAATCAAATCAAATCAAATCAACTCAATTCAAATCAAATCAAATCAAATCATGAATTTTAGGGAAAGCTTTAGGCTTCACTAAGCAGCCTGGAGTTTCAAGATGAAAAATATGTCATTTTGAAGAATGAAACTAAGATGAAAAATAGGTCATTCTGAATATCTAACCCAAGATGAAAAATATACCATTTTGAAGAATGAAATAAAGATGAAATTTGCACCATATTAATTATCTAACAAAAATAAAATATAGGGAATTTTAAGTATCTAACCCAAGGAGAATTTTGGCCTGCTGAAGAAATAGTTTTTGCGTAACAACAATAATAAAGATTGTAAACAATAGCACAAATGATAAACAGACATCTGGCGCATCTCTGCAGCGTTAGATGATAGATTCACCGTATACTAACTCATGTTTGTTTACATTAGATCGCCTGCCTTTGTTGTTGTTGTTACGCAAAATCTAGTTCTTCAGCAGTCAAAAAACGTCACAGCAAAGTGTACGGGAACCCTATCGCCCCCTCCTTCTATTCAATTCTCCTTGATCTAACCTAACCCCAGATGAAATAAACGCCATTTTGATTTTTAACCAATATGTAATATACGCCATTTAGAATAAAGAAACCAAATGAAATACATGACATTAAAATAAATAAACCAAGATCAAATATTATACGCCATTGAGAATAATAAAACCAAGATCAAATATTATATGTCATTGAGAATAATAAAACCAAGATCAAATATTATACGCCATTGAGAATAATAAAACCAAGATCAAATATTATATGTCATTGAGAATAATAAAACCAAGATCAAAGATTATACGCCATTGAGAATAATAAAACCAAGATCAAAGATTATACGCCATTGAGAATAATAAAACCAAGATCAAATATTGTACGCCATTGAGAATAATAAAACCAAGATCAAATATTCTACGCCATTAAGAATAATAAAACCAAGATCAAATATTGTATGCCATTTTAGAATAATAAAACCAAGATCAAATATTATATGCCATTGAGAATAATAAAACCAAGATCAAATAAACGCCATTTTGAGTATCTGACCCAAAATAAAATAAGAGCCTTTTTGGGCCATAATGCAAAATATGCCATTTAAAATAATAAAATCAATATAAAATAACGTCATTTTGAGTGTTTAAATTCTTAAACATGGTGAAATATTGTACCTTAATTGATTTACCAGCTAACATCGCTTCTGTTTTAAGTTTAGCCAATTCAACTTGAGCCTGAAAAATAATTAACATAAAAAACCATTTTAATATCACTTGCAAATCAAATACAAAAACTAAACTTCTAATTTTTAGCCTAATATATCATGGTTTAAATAAATAATTTACCAATCGGGCAGCTTCCTTTTTTTCTTCCTCTTTCTTTAATTTTTCCATCTAAACAAACAAATTTTTTTTAGAAAAAAGTCTTTGACATTTTAAGGAACTGTCAACGTTAAAATTTGAATAAATAAATCAATTTTGGAATTTTAGATTATAACATAGATTAGTTATAATTCTTTAATTGTTTAGTAACAATAAAAACAATTGAAGAATTAAAATAATTAAAATAAGAACTGTTCTCTAGAACAAATAACGATCAGGACCTGTACAACACGTTTCTTATGCGGTTTTCCGGCCATGTGCGTTTCATACGTAGCTTGGCATGTGACCGTCAGCGAGCAGACCTCACACCGTACCGGCACTGCCTAAAACAGTAAATAGCGTTAAACAGGGTCAACAGTTTATGTACAGTGTACTTAAACTTGTACTGTAGTGAAAGCAAAGAGATGGATGAGGTGAAAGTACAAGAGTACGCAAAATAAATTGTAACGATGTTTAACAGCTTAGGAACTATTTTGTTTAGTTTGTTGAAACCAGAAGTTTCATGTGATGTCAGGGCGTACGGGGGGGGGGGGCTCATTTAATCTACATCTGCTTGCATTGCACTCACCCAAACAAAAGATTAAGATAAGAAACAAATTATATTCTGATTCACAACAATAACCTTCAAAGCTTTGTCTGATCAAGTATTGCATTAAATGTCCATGTTTCCCATTTTAAAAACTGGGTTTCTCTGCAAAAGTAACTCATGCATTTCTAGCTTCTGAAACGATGGAGCAATGAAGGTTTCAAAGGTACATCGGACATGCCACTCTATAAATGGAGGGTCACTTGAAATTACGTATGTATTCCATTTAAGTATAATTATATCATATAATAAAAAATACTTTAAAATCTCACTTTTGCTCTTAACTAAAAAAGTTTTATTAAAAAAGCTTTAATCAATACTGCTTTCAGTGTAAAACATTTATAATACAATATGTATCAATCCTATAAAATATAGATATTTTTTAAGAAACGTTTTCATCTCTATTTTTCACCCCTTGAAGCTTACACGACAGTATTAAGAGGGAGTGTATGATGAGTCCACTTAAGAAAATTACATAAATAATTTATTAACACTTGTAATATGGACGTGTGTATTATATGATAGAATAGTTTACTTGAACAAAGTAAAAATGTATCAAAATTTTTTTTAAAAAAGGGGGGTATTAAAAAGTTGATTTAAAAGTTACCGGTAAAGCATATGAAATTGTCTTCCTATCACGCAGTTTTTTGTTCTCAATATACTAATTTATGAGCTGTCAAACCACGTTACAATATATTGTGTCTACTTTTTTACTAGCCCTCCCTCTTCGTATTATCCTTGGCTGAAAGGAACTAATATTGCGTATTTTTGCGTACACTGTACATACATAAGAGCTCTGAGAAGTAAAAAAAAATGAAGATTCGGAAGAAAAGGAAAAAATTAACAGGGAAGATGGGGAAGAAAAAAATAAAAATTCTCGTAAATTCAAATTTCTTGTTGTGAAAAATGTTGATTAAATTGATCAATAAGCTTCTACAGATAGACTTGACCTACGTCAGAAGTTGTTGAAGTGTGCACCGTTGAAACCTATACCGCCAGCATGTACACTGTACACTCAGTACACAGCTATAAAACCGGTTTGAGCTCAACTACTCAGCCCTTTCAACATCTATGGCGTCAAGAGCTGAGCAGGATTCATGTTAATTGACAAAATTTGCTTTTGATCACTGAAAATGTATGAATAAAGGTTTCATACATTTTTAGGTAAGCTAATTTTGCAATTAAATCTAATTGAGCAATTTTACTAAAAAATTTGCTGAATTTTGAATAACAATTGAGGTGTAACATAACGACCAAAATTTGCTCTTGATCACTGAAAATGTATGAATTAAGGTCTCATACATTTTTAGGTAAGCTAATTTTGTAGTTGTATGAGCATTTTACTTTACATGAACAAACTTACTAAAAAGGGAAAGAATGAAAGTGTTAAGTTATTTTTTCTAAATTTGTTGAATTGATTACTAAAAATGTTGGAAAATGTTTATACCCCCTTTAATTTTTCCTTAACAGTCCCTTTATAAATACACAGAATAATTTAGAAAGCGAAAAAAAAATAAGACGAAGCAGGAAGACATCAAGAGGGCAATGGGAGGTTTTTTAGTTTGCTTTAGATTCATAAAATTTTGAGAAATATCTAAAACCTTCTTAGCTTACTTTTAATAAGCTAAAAAAAGATGGAAAATTCAAAATTTGCTCTTGATCACTGAAAATGTATGAATAATGTTTCATACACTTTTAGGTAAGCTAATTTTGTAATTTTATTTTGATGAGCATTTTATTTTACATGAACAAAACTAATGATAATTAAAATATTGATTTAAAGTTATTTGCAAAAATTGCCTATTTATTGATCACAATGTTGGAGGCATTAAAAATTACCTTTATTTACCGATAATGCGTACATAATGTAAACGGTTCATAAGTTAAAAGAAATTTTAATTTTTTCATACATTTTTTGAGTAATTAAACCATATTTAGCTATTAAAAGTTGGAAAATTAAAAGTTTGCATACTAAAAATGTATGAATAAAATAAAATATCAAACACTTTTAAATATAAGCTAATTTTCCAACTTTAACTTTGATTTTAACTTTACCCAAAAGCATTTTCTAAAAGCAAAAGTCAAGGACATGTTACGCAAAACCCTGGGGACAAAATTAATTTTTTTCATAAATTACCAACACGCAGCAAAAAATGTTAATTTTAACTTCAAGCATTTAAAAAAAATCATAATTACTAAGGGAGGTCGATTTTCCAATTTAATTTTTTAATCTAAAGTTGTGCCTCTAACCACTGAATAATGACAAGTTGTTGATTTTTAGAAATTTAGAAAATTTTTTAATCTAGGGCAAAAAAACTCGATTCTTTTGGGGGTCTCTGGCAAATTTCCACTAAAAACAATTTTTAACAGACGTTTATGATTTTAACATTTATGAATTCAGTGTTTCAAAATGGATTTTTTGGTACCAATATCGACATATGATTTTTTTTTCTGCTTGCACGCGTGATTTTATATTTACAAAAACGAGATGCGGTGCATGAATTTGAAAGTGAGAATTTTTTTACTCTTCATTTTTTTAAACTTTTTTATTATGGAAACTTTTCAGACACGCGCTGAAAAAATCTGAAGATTTTTATCAAAAAAGTGCCAAATGGTCCTAACCGTCCTACCCTTAGCTGATAGGGGTGATTATAATCAGTCAAATGTGTGACTGGAATGAATTGACTCAATAACTGCATGTTTTAGAATATCTTTAATAAATTTAAGCTTTACAAAGAGATATTAACTTTACATGAGGATATATGTTTAGTTTAGAAAATACGAAATTAATTAATCTCTTATTAGTCGATTTCAGTGTTCTCACTTGAAGTGAACCCTCATGTAAAGATAGCAATGCCTGAGATAGTTACAACGGTACCCTTGAAACTGATTAATAATGTAGAAGATAAAGCCGTTTTTTGGGGGGGCTTAAAATTGTTTTATTCTGATAACTACTTTATGTTTTTCTGCAGCAGAAATGCGCAGGTCACTTCTTAGAGAAACCACAATTGAAAATAATCAGCTTTCAAAATCATAAAATTGATAATTCATATTTTGTGAGACAAAGCTTTCAGAATGCCGTTGTAAATCTGGCATTGCCATCTTAGCATGGAGGGTCACTTAAACATTACGATTACAGTCCCTTAGAGGCTAGATCAATGAAGAGCTTGTTTCTTATAATTTTTGGTTAAACAAACAAATAAACAAACAATCAAGCAGTCACCCATCATTTATAGAAGTCAGGGCTTGTTTGTTTGTTTAAGAGCATGTGGCCATAGATATTAGATTCTTAATAAATCGATCTAATTAAAATCGGTTTCAATGAGTTTAACTATTCTCCTTATCTCTTTTTCATATAACCGTCGAACTTTTGAAATATTATAAAAAAAGAATTAGCTGAACTCATTCAAACCGATTTAAATCAGTTTCATAAATCATAAGTAGCAGATAGTTTAATAACACTTTTATCTATGCATTACGAAGAGAGATTACAGATGGAAACTTATGAGTATTATATCAACTACATAATTCAAATATAATAAATATACAAAATATAAATAATCAAACTGATTTTTGCCTCAAACTTTAATTTTCGTAAACCTTGCATCTTTTCATCTTGATGTCGTATATAACCTTTGGTATTTTAAACTAAATGATTTGAAATATTCAAGGTTTATGCCATCAAAGGCCGAGATTAAAGAATTTGTGCCGCGGCTCAAGTATGGTTGGTTCCACTTAAAATGGTATTCAACGTTTCAAGGTTTAAGTCGGCGCTCAATTAAAACCACCTTTTGGCAGATTTAAAACGCGGCTCAAATTCATTAAATTAGGACTCAGGTTGCAAAAATATATGGAAAAGAAAATTGGAGTTTAGTGCGACTTCTTATTTCAGTATTTTCATATTAGACTGTATTTACCGACAAAATAATCCTTACCTTGGGTTTATTTTCATTAATTCTTTTCCCATATCTTCCGCGGACATTATTTAGGAGAGCTTGCCCAACAGGATTCTCCCCAGCAGCATAGGAATACACGAACTAGAACACAAATATTTTATCAATATTCAGAATCAGTTTGGAATTGCACGGATTTAAAATGCGCGTACGGTTTCAATTCCAGTAAAAATATCTATTATTTAACATATTCACATAAATGACGCACAAATTAGAATTTTGCCAATTACTCCTTTAAAAAACTGTTCTGAGATTTTGAAATCTTCGGGTTCAGAGCTAAAAAAAATAAATCGGCCAAGAAGGTCAAATCAAGAGCAAAGGCCTGTCAAGTCGGCCGATGGTTCACTATTTAGTGCATAAAATTCTAGTTGAGCGTTGAGAACTTAAGGGGGAGGAGATGGTAAGAAATAATTATAGTTTGAGAAAGGGAAATTAATGTCTTTTTTTCTATATTGAGAAAGATCTAGATTTTAGGGGGAGGGAGGGAATTTTGTGTTTTTCTTAAAAAGAAAGAGTTCTAACCTCAGGTTTGGGTTCAGTTTTCTTTATCTCTGGTTGTTTATCGGCATAGACCCAAGATTCACCATCATAGAACCATTGCATCTTCCCCTTCGAGGACTCAGGAGCTGTTTCAGGACCTCCTTGAACAGTAAAAGGAGGTACTGGAGCAGCAAAAGGAGGTACTGGAGTAGCAAACGGAGGTGGACCTGGAGGAGGAGCTGGGGGATCAGGCGTTGGAGGCCGAGGAGTTGTATAGATAACAGCCTTGCTTTTAGCGGCCTGCCAGGGTAGTAGTGAAGTAGATGTGATGGGGGGAGGTGGGGGAGGAGGGGAGGTTAGATTTAAACATTGTTTTTTAGCTGGAGATGGTCCTGGAGTATCAGTAGTTGGAGGAGGAGGAGGAGGAGGTGGAGCAGAGGAGAATACAGGAGAACCTGGTAGATGGATCTCATACCATTGTTTATACCAGGCAGGGTAGGAGGGATCGGAGGGATGTGGCATCGGAGGCATTGAAAATGGGCCGCCAGGGCGGGAAGGAGGAGGGCCAGGGGGTTTAGGAGCCAGGGGGTTATGAGGAAGTCCTGAATAGTAAGAATTTCCAGGAGGAGGTCTTGGAGGTCCAGAGTTCCAATTTGAAGGTCGTTCATGTGGAGGAGGTGGTGGAGGACCTCCAGGGAACGCTGGTGGAGGCTGGTTGTACATACTGCCTCCGAGATTTAACTAAGATTAAAAAGCGTTATTATCTTATGAACTGGTTGTAAAATGACAAATAAATGCATTTTCTTTAAACATTTACTTTAGAATAAAATATGAGTATAAATCTATTTATAGTTATAAAGATTTGAAGTGGAGGCTTCCCTATCTCTGAAAATGCGTGATGAATGATGTATTATGAATGTGTTGTGTTTGTATACCTGTGTCCTGTGTAATCTAACTGTATTCTCTTCTGTAATCTCTACCAGTTCAGTTTATATCAGATTCAGAACCTGGAAATAATATGCTTAGTTCAAACTATATAAACCATGACTATCAACTTTTGCAATCTTAGGCGCAACTTTGACTTTTTTGTGACATAAAACTAGAAAAATATCATGTTAAATTAAAATCTTACGTGATTTAAACACATTACCTCTATGACTTAGAAGCTAGTGATGAAATTAAATACAACCATATACTTTATATAAATGGTATCATTAGTAATTCAGCAAAACATCGTCTCTTAATCTAGATTGTAATCTTTTATGATTAACATATTTTTGTATGATTGAATTAACTTCTTTTTTTCTGTCAAATTTTTATTAGACGTAAAACTTTTTGTTTTAGGTGTTTATTCTCAAAAAAAAAAATTAAGTGGAAATTTTACAAAATTAATACAAAACCTACATAATATTAACTATTAAAAAGACTGTATTTTCAAATGAATGTTCAAATGAGGTTTTCAGGGTACCGCAGTGAATTGGGCATTATCCTCTTCAAATGGAAGGTCACTGGAAATATTTCAACTTGGTTTTTACTCTAAAAAGAGGTCTCTTGGTTTGTTAGGCAGTTCAATTCAACATTTATGTCCGCTAAAAAGCTATGTTTTTATTTTGATAAGTTTGGTGAATTTGATGATTATCACAGTTGATAGTTTCAGGTTAAATCCTGGACCATGAATTTGAAACATTCAGTTGAAATAATACTGGTTGGATTTTTACTGCCCCTCTCTACCAAACCACAATCTTGCACCAGGAAAAATAGCAGTTATAAATGAGGCTAGGGAGCGAAGGAGGGTTTAAATATGCTTGGTGGATGACAATTAACAGATGGTCAAGTAAAAATGAAATTATATGAAATTATATTAAATCATATTAAAAAATTTGTCTAACTTAAAATCTAGATAAAATTCATATTCTCAACGTTTTAAAAAATTCAGAATTTTTTTCAGTAAAAAACATAATACATGGAAATTCTTCATTTGAACATATTTTCATGTAAAATAAACATTACTTTTGAACTACATCTATTGTAGTAAATCTAAACTATTATTGCTAGTATAGTAGTAAATCTAAACTATTACTAACTGATATATTTTAAAGAAATGTTACTGATGAATCATGGAGAGAACTCTTTCCTTTCCTAGAGACAGAAATAGAAACAAGGTTGAAATATTTCTTTAACACTTTTTTCTATAGATTTTTTTCTCAAAACTGTGCTCTCAATGCATCCAATTCTGATTAGCAAATATAAACCTTATACATTTTTTGTGTAAATAATACATTTCGAAAGCGCTAAAATTCTTCTAATCTAAAAAATTTTGAAGTTAAAATATTAAATGTCTCCGCATCAAGTTGCCAAGATAAAAGGATTATTAAATCAGAATTTGTAGCAAATAATCAGTTTTAGTAATCAGTCTTATGTCAATATATTTTGTGAAAAAAATATATGAATTTTTGTAGAAAGAGAAGAATTTGTAATGTGGAGTTAGAAGAAGGAAACTACACAGGAAATATATCATTAATAATCAACACCTTTAGATAATTACATCTGGCAGGTGCATGCTCCCGGGACCCCCCCCCCCCCCGTAACACCTTTAGATAATTACATCTAGGAGGTGCATGCTCCCGGGACCCCCCCCCCCCACGTAAAATCAAATATTTGTTACTGTGTAAAACCTTTTTTCATTCTAGGGAGGGATGGGGGGGGGGGGGTTGTCAATATATTAGGCAGTTGAATTACAAGAAAGAGAAAGATTAGTATATATTTTAGAGTTAGGTTAGGTTATGACACTTTCTGGGCCGAGCGCTGCGGTTAAAACAGACTAGGGGCCCGAGCACTGCGGATAGGACAGGCTAGGGGGCTGATTACCTCGACTAGAACAGTCTCTCTCTCTGTCTTGTAATTTAATGCGGCATGCGCGTAAATATTTTGGGCTTCTGCCATTATTTAGCGCGTAAATTCTAGTAATCACGAGAATTTTTAATGATTTACTAACAGGGATGATCAATGAGTTTGGAGAGAGGGATGGTTGGGGCGAAATGAGGTAGGAAACAATCATATTTTTAAATACAATAAAATAATTTGGATCCTGGCTACTTAAAAATATTACTTATGGAACGCTGTATGGAACTGGAAATGATTCTATTAGTCTGTTCCTTATTAACTATATCTAGATGGATTAATGGAATGCTGTATGGAACTGTAAATGAATTCTATTAATCTGTTCCTTATTAACTATATCTAGATGGATTAATGGAATGCTTTATGGAACTGGAAATGATTCTTTTAGTCTGTTCCTTATTAAATATATCTAGATGGAATAATGGAATGCTGTATGGAATTGGAAATGAATTCTATTTATCTGTTCCTTATTAACTATATCTAGATGGAATAATGGAACGCTGTATGGAACTGAAAATGAATTCTATTACACCGAAGGAGATAAATATCTGGGACAATGGAAACAAAATCTACAGCAAGGTCAGATAATTAAGAAAATAAAAAAAACACCGCTCAAATTTATGAACTCATTAAATGAATTAGACCCTTTTGTATCTAATAAATTGTCTTATTTTAAACTCCAGAACTGGAATGTATGTGAGAAAATGGAATATATGTTCTCCAATATAAGGTCTAGGGAGTCTATACTGAAGTATTTGCTGAAGAATAGAATATATATTCTCCAAAATTAAGGTCTACGGAGTCTATACTCAAGTATATGTTGAAGAATTGAGTACATATTCTCCAATATTAAGGTCTAGGGAGTCTATACTCAAGTATATGCTGAAGATTGGAGTATATATTCTCCATTATTAAGGGAGTCTATACTCCAGTATGTGCTGAAGAATTGATTATGTATTCTCCAATATTAAGAGAGGCTATACTCAAGTATATGCTGAAGATTGGAGTATATATTCTCCAATATTAAGAGAGGCTATACTCAAGTATACGTTGAAGAATGGAGTATATATTCTCAATTATTAAGATCTAGGGAGTCTATACTCCAGTATATGCTGAAGAATGGAGTATATATCCTCCAATATTAAGGGAGTCCATACTTAAGTATATGTTGAAGAATGGAGTACATATTCTCCAATATTAAGGTATAAGGAGTCTATACTCCAGTATATGCTGAAGAAAGGAGTATATATTCTCCACTATTAAGGGAGTCTAATATCCAGTATATGCTGGAGAATGGAGTATACAGATATTCTCCAATATTAAGGTCTAGGGAGTCTATACTCCAGAACTGGAGTGTATGTTGGAGAATGGATTAAAGGACTCCAAGAAGGGAATGGAACTGCTCTATATAATAATGGAAACAAGTATACAGGACAGTTTTCCCAGGGATTCAAGGTAAACAATTTAACTGGTCTCTTTAAATATTCAATCTGGTCCAACTCTTTATGCAAAGCTCAATTTGTAAATTATTTAATCGTCTTTTCTTCGAATTTTCTTAAAAAATTTATTTCTTTTAAAAAATCTAATTTCCAAGCTTTTAATTTATTCTGATATTTTTTAAATAATTTTATTCTTATCCATTCAAAACAATTTTAATTACTTCCGTTCTCTCTCTATATTTTCTACTTTCTTATAATAATTTCCACTTTTAAATCTTTAAGTCATAATAAACGGTTTCCTCCACACTAATCATCTGGGCAAGTTTGTAATATGTACATTGTACAATATCCATAACTATGTTAAAAACATCTTAAGATTTAACACAACATCATAATGTATTAAAATGAGCTTGTAAATGGTAATTAAATGATGTTTAAAAAAGTAAGTGATCTACTGTAGTAGAGAACAATCAATTTGTGAAACGAGATTTTTTTAAAATCTCATAACTTTTGGGTAATCCCAGTATATATTCTATTAATTTAGGATGGATTTGGTGTTTTTCAAGTTGTCAACGGAGATGTATATACTGGAAGATTCAAGTGAGGATTAATTCAAAAATACAATTTTTTTAGATAGAAAATTTAGTTAAGAAAAAACGAAAATATTGAAGAACTGTAAATAAATAAAAAACCTCAGCATTAATTTTAATTATCTTTATCTTCTTAATTTGTATTTTCCAATCAAAGAACTAAGGGAAGTAGAATAAAGTTTACTTTTATTTTGTTGTAACGTATAAAAAACTAATTTACTGTAAACAGTAACATAAATTGTTAATTATAAGTGAGTAATGTATAGAAAAGTATGTGCTGGCCTCAGCCATCAATGTTAACTAAATGTTTTTTGTTTACAATATAACTAGTTCTTGATCTTGTTGTAGATAATCTTGCAAGTATCTTGTCTAAATTGCAGAGGATACTAAGGTGGGTTGTGAAGTAAATAGTAAGGAAGATCGACTAGTATTACAAGAGGTCATTGGCCGCCTAATGATCTCGGTAGAAGAGTGGCAAATGGAGTTTAATGCATTAAAATGCAAAGTCTTGCATCTAGGTAAACAGAATAAAAAGTTCAGCTACACCATGGAAGGTCATGCTCCAGAAGGTCAGATTCTTGAAGTAACTAAGTGTGAAAAAGATATTGGAATGTTATAAACAAATGATCTAAAACCTTCTCTTCAATGTGCGTCAGCTTCTCAAAAGGCAAACTAGCTCTTAGGTAGAATGCCCAGGTCCTTCTCCTACAGGGACAAGTATACTTGGATCAGGCTTTACAAAGTTTATGTCCGATATCTTCTAGAGTAATGTGTTTAGGCTTTGTATTGATTTTCTTTAGAATGACCGGTTTCAAACTACTCTCACTATATAAACTGTGTTTTCTTTAATTCTTTATTCAGATGGTGTTACTTGGTAGAAAAGAGTTTGGATGTTTAAATGAATGTCATTTATTAAGAAAGAAATCAAAGTAAGTTTACATCAGCGTCCATGGTTGGTTTAAGCCTTACTGAAGCTATACTTAGGATCCAGGCATACATACGTGCGTGCGCGCAGCAATTGTACATATTATATATAGTAAAATGGGAATAGATCAAATGCCTAATTTCTAAACAGGCTTGGTCACCTTGGCTTAAATCAGATATTGAACTGCTTGAGAGTGTTCAAAAACGAGTTTTAAAGATGACTTCAGGACTCCATAGTACCTCATACCTTGATCAACTAAAGGAGGTTAACTTGACCACCTTGGAAAAAAGAAGAATAAGAGGGGATTTCATCCAGACTTGGAGGATTCTCCATAAGCATGATAATGTAAAAGAAGGTACATGGTGTACAAGGTCTGTAGACACAGCTCAGCGAGAAACAAGATTTTCGACATGCAATATGAACCTCAACTCAAAACTGTGCAATCTAGATGTTAGGAGAAACTTCTTTAACATGAGAGTTATTAAAAGATGGAACAGTTTGCCAATAGTTATTAAAAATGCCACCTCATTGATTTGTTTGAAGAATATGTATGACAAACATATTTCTTCAATGTGATAAGTGTCAGGGGCGCCGAGATCCCTGGTAAAGGTGTCAGGGGCGCCAAGATCCCTGGTTTAACTTAGTTTCAGTAGAAACAAAAAAGATATATTGACTCGCTAAAAATGTCACACAAGTGATCTCCCAGCGAAAAATATTCCAGTAATGCAGTAATCCAGTAATCCAGTAATCCAGTAATCCAGTAATGCAGTAATCCAGTAATCCAGTTCCTTTGCTGTCCTTATACGTCACAGTAGAATGTATACAAACACTATCCTCTTCTCCTTAGCCAAATCTTAACAGCTCTATCTGGGCTAGTACTGAAATGAACTATTCCAGGAGACTTAGGTGAAGTCAGTCATTTGCCTAGCCCTCGACAAGCTGATAAGCACTAGACTTATTATTATTATTAGTATTCTTATTATTATCATCAATTCCTTAGGAAAGGAATGCGAGATGGGGAAGGAATAGAATCATTTTACAATGGAGAGAAATATGTTGGAACTTACAGGGAGGATAAACAGGAAGGACAGGTAAGAAAAATTTGCATTTCAGGTTTAAAGAATAAGTTTAGTTTCTGGGCAAATCTGGAGTCCCAAACTAATAAAGAAATAAAGAAATAGAAAAATACCAAATATGATTCCTTGAAAATCTGGGTCAAGTTACCATCAAACCTTACAACTTGACAGATATTAAAACTGATGTAAGATAACCAAATCTCAGCAAGAAACATATGACCCTTTTGCCATTTCAAGTAATCTCTTCATGAAACATTGAAGTATCTCCTAAGAAAACATTTCACAGTGAGAGCACAGAACGGGTTTAAACATAGGGTTTGTCTTTACGGAGAAAAACCCTAAGAAAATTAATAGAAAGACCGCGGCCAAAGGTTCTCATAGATGAAAAGGATAATAAAAAATCCGTTATTGTTCCTAAAATTTTAAAGTAAACCGTTGGGGATCATTGATGGCACCCGAAAAATGAATGGTTACATAAAGATATAGAATACGACCACTTTAATATTTGGCCTTTGACGTTAAGTGTAATACTTTATCTAATTCTTAAACCTTTCTTAAATCCCTTTAAATTGAAGCACAAAGTTGAAAATCAAGTATTTGTTTAGGGTATTGCCTACTACTCGAATGGAAGAGTGAAGTATGTTGGTGAATGGAAGAATGGTTCCCCGGATGGAAATGGAACTTATGTAGCACTTAATGGAGATATGTACATAGGACTCTTCAGGTATCCACTAGAGTACTGTACGGAACATCCATACAGAACAGAACAGTAAAAGAATACAGTTAAGTAACGAACAGTACAGTCCAGTAAACTAAATTACTTAGAGTACATTACAATAAAGTACAGTACAGAGCAGTGCATTTTAAAAAACAGTACACTACATTAAAGTACAGTACAGTGAATAGTACGGTAGTCTACAGTACGATACAGTACAGTGATTTATTATAAACTTATGGGCCATACAAAAATTATTATGGCAAACATACTATGGCAACTGAAACTGAACCAGCTGTGTAACAGTTAGATTTAATTTTCTTGATCCCATATTAAAAAATTCTTTTGATTTGTTTATTATCAATAATTTTTCAGATCCGGAGTAGTATCCGGACCAGGAAGGATTCAAGAGGTCTCCGGAGAAATCAGGGAGGTCGGAGAAAATGAGGAAATTGATTTCAGGTTCGGTCAAAGCGTTTGAAAACAACGGTTGGTGTCTTTTTTGTGGTATCAGCATAATACAAATAAACATTAAAGGAGGACTGAGATATCTTTCTTTATCGCTTCGGAAAAGTGATTATTTTTAACTGTGGCCACTCTTGCACATATATGCTACATAGACAAAGGAAGAAATTCACAGAAAAAATAACAACTCTTTCCTAATTGTTTTTTTAACAGAGGTGTAAAGTTTAGGAACCATTGTGAATCAGACATGCTAGACAATAGAAATATCTCGTTAAATAATTTCTCCAATCGAAACTGATTTAAAACAAATTTATTTTTAGGTCTGAAAAAAGCAAAATGCTGGAAAACTTTTGGAAATTCTCGGAGTTTCTAGGTCTAAACAAATTCTTTCAAAAGTATATTGATTTTTTTACTCTTACTCTGCCATCATGGTTTGGTAAATAGAAAACAAAGTTGAAAAGAAATTCAAAGATATGGAGTTTTTTTTGGGTGCCATTCGTGTTGATAGTGTAATAAGATGTTGTATTTTAGAACTGTGAGAATTTTTTTATTTTCATTTAAAATGTGTTCACTGTTCATTGTACAGAAAATATAAAAAAATTATAATTTATCTGAACTCCGTTTTATACATGAAAATGTAGATTGGGGGACTTACATTAGCAGGTATAAAGAAAATGAGTCTTTGCCACAAACTTAAATTTTCTAATCCCTCTGTCTTTGCAACCTGATGATGTAAAAATTTAATATCTCAAACTTAGATTATGATCAAAAAGAATTCATAATTTAAAATTCTAACAACATTTGGTTGCAAGGATATAGTGATTAGAAAATCAGAGTTTGTTGTAAAGAGCCAATTACTTTGAATAAAAACGAGAAAACCTGCTCAATTCCGTTAAAAAGTTTATAAAGTTGTGGTCACTTTCATCTAGAGAAACGATCATGCGCATTGCGCCCACTGCCATTTAAATCTGTTCAAACTAAATTAAGTTTTAAAGTGGGTTTCTTATTTAAATTACGAGCTAGTTTAACGAATAGAACGATTGGTAATAATATTTCTTGAAATTAGATAATTTATTTGAATTTAACAAATACTTGATGATAAAAAAATAACTTACCTTAGAAGTCAAACTTCAAAACTCCAAAGCACATATTATTCTGCAAAACATAAAATTATTTTCATTGTATAAAAATATCTAAAATTATGCAAATTGTAAATTTCTTGTATCACAATGATGTTTATAAAAAATAAAGTTCAGATTGAACTTATACTGAGATTTTTACCATATTCACCAAGCAAACTCAAAAATGATAAAATGTAACTTTTAAATATTGCTAGGCTGTCAGTAATCACTTTAATGATCGTATAAACATTGCTAACTTCTATTACGGACAAAAAACTAAAAATTAAAAAATAACAACACTGAAAGAATAAATATTTTGAGATTCTCAGTTTATAAATGTACAATACAACAAAAACATTGTTCAAGGAAGGTAGATTAATAAATTAGATTTCACACTCACGGCAGTTTAGACATCCCCTTGGTCTGCCCGTCCTCCGGCAATCACAGAGACACGCCCCATCTCTCCTAGACCTCCACCTGGTCCATCACCCCCAGGCAATTACAGAGACACGCAGACGCCCCTCCTCTCCTAGACCTCCACCTGGTTCGCCCAACCCCAGGCAATCACAAGAACACGCCCCTCCTCTCCTAGACCTCCACCTGGTCCGCCCACCCCCAGGCAATCACAGAAACACGCCCCTCCTCTCGTGCCTTTTCTGGAGGCATCTGAAGGATACCATGCCTCCATAGTACATTAATATCCCGTCCAAACACATACACGGACCCATTTGGCTGTGGGCTGGAGATAATCGTCTTTGTTTTAGCGTGCTCAAATGCCGCGTCACGTTCTAAACCAAAAGAAACCGCAACGGTTAAGTTCGACTGCTTAGCTTTTTCCTCTGAAAGTAAAAACATAAGTAGGTACTACAGTGTAACTTTAAAGCGAAGAATAAAAAGAAACTTTAGAAAATGAAATATTTTAGCTTAGAGAAGTTATCATAATTATTATTTTTACCAAAATCAAATCAAATCATTTTTTTAGGGACGTCCTACACCCACACACCAAAATTGAAGTGACTATACTAAATCAATAATGAAGTGAGGTCTTACGATTTGTAGTTTTGCTAATTTCCATCTGGCTATTCCAAAGACTCTACAAGGAATTTTTAAGAGGTAAATCGTTATTGTTATTTTGCTAGTGTCATTAAATACGCGCGAAATTACTTAACGATCTACAACGGACATCCGACGTTATTGCCATACCGCCAATCAACCTACAGTCAAAGAATCATGTCCTGACGGCAATGATTCGTTGATCTCCAGGGTCGAGCTCCAGCCACTTACCCATGTCCACTTGGGTCTCATGGATCATATCAGGTTTGATTTTTTTTAGGACTCAGTGTGTATGCCAGATATGTAAGGAGGCCTACAAATGCTTTAAATAGCATTTTTGAACAGTACACACCTCTGTTCGAGAGAAAGCGAAGTGATTCAAAAATCAAAAAAAAATGTAAAATTTAAAAAATCAAATGAAACCTTTGATGGCTGCAGCGTCGTGATGAAAAGGTTTCCATTCTGAAGAATTTCTATACCAGTTTAATCGGGTAGCCTAAATAATGTTGGCATTAAAAATATCTTCCGCTATAAATTCTGCAATTTTTTTATAATTAAGAGAAAGATAATGGATCTTTTATTTAACCTTGATATCCATGTTGAAATAGTCTGCAATCTTGTCTAGAACCATGTGGAAGGTAGGACAGTGTCTAAAATCAAGATAATCACAAATAATGCACTATTCATTTGCTGATTTTGTAAAATATATATTGGATTTATTTCTTACTTTTTCCAGTTTGTCTGGTCATTTGCTATCAAATGGCTGTCTCCATGCCAGGAAGCCCAGATCTGGTGTTCAGTTAAACCAGATTCTGAGAGTTCATGCATCAACTGAAACCAAACCAAACCTTGAAACAGGTTTATTTTGCAAATAACAGATATCAAATTCCATGTTACATAGTAAAATATCAATTTGTTACATCAGTAATCAAGTTTACGATATTATGTCTAAATGAAATTGAACAAAAAGTTTGTAACTGTGTGTGTATACATTCATGGTTGGTTTGGTTCCTTGTTGTACAAATATAGATCTGCAGGTTTACAGAATAGGTCAGATACAAGGAGTACATCTCTAGTCTGTACTTCACGATTATACCTAGTACATTTATTGATTTATTTAAACAAAATTGTTGGGGTCATTCCTGGCCCCCTCCCAGTACTTTATAGTTCATCAGCATTTATATATATATTCTGTTTAAGTAAGTAAGTAATTAAAAAATTATTTATTTATGAAATGTAACAAAAAACATACAAAATAAAGTGTTTCAGGAGAAAATATTTTAAAACCTCTATAAGTAGAGGTTGTGGGAATATATTCCCCCAATTCTAAAAAAATATAAAAATAGAAATAAACGGAAAAGGAAAGGAAAGGATAAGGAAAGTTACATATTTATTGTTCACACTATATTTAATATAAATTAGTGGTGGATTGTTAGTATTTTTCGACGATGAACTAACAACTTTTAGAAATAAAAATTATAGATTTATTTGTAATGTTAAAAAAGAGTAAAAAAAAGGCTTTATGGAATGTGAAAGAGATATAGGTTCTATGAAAAACGGGTATTTTAAAGCATCTTTTTAATTCGCGCTGATTTTTGACATCCTTTATGTTTGATTATATATTTTACTCTTTTTAATCTTTTTATTCTTTTCAATGTAAAGTCGTCTTTGGTTTCTTCAATTTTTTTGCAAACATAGCATGTGTTAGAATAAAAACAATTATTCTGCTGATAAAAATCTTCTATTAAATTCTGTTTAAAATTCGAAATAAGATTGATATTTAAAAGCTTAGAAAAGTGTCGTTTATTTTCATACCATATTTTAGGAAAAGAAGCCCCATATTGAGCAACCCAGACTGAACTTTATGTGTTCAATGATTTAGACTCAAAAATAGATTAAGTTAAGGAAGTACCGAGCCAATCTCTAGGTAACTGTAGCAGTTTTTCCAGTATAGAACATATACAGACAAGGGGCGTATACAGGAACTAGTCCAGGGGGCTTTAACTTTTTCCAGGGGGGGGGGGGCATAGAAATCCCCTTGGAGATAATTTTTCACTTCTCCTGGGGGAGGGGGGCGGGCATAGCCTTCATAACCTATCCCCTGTGTACGCCTCTGATACTGACTTGAGAAGGCAAATCGGAACAGTGCACATTGTACAATTTACACTGTACAGTGTACAGCATGAATTAAGCACATGTACATAACAATACTTTAACCCCTGATCAACTGTTACCTAACTAATCCGGCCGGAACAGCAATTATCCTCATCTGTGAAGGTTCATGGGAAGGAGTGAAGTTTTCAGTATTCTTCTTAGGTTTTGTAGATTTTTCCTCTCGTCCCAGTAATCTTTCTCTTCTATCCTCCTCATAGTTGGTCCTCTTTTCCAACCGGTTCCTTAACACCCAAGTTTGAGTTAAAAGGAATAAATGTTACGTACAATTTGTTAAAAGGGAACGCTTTTAGCAATTATTCCAAAACCGTCATTCTGTGAAAGTCAAAGCCAAATCCTCAAAACTTAAATGTGTACACTGTACCAACATGTAGACTGTAGACTGCAGAGAAAGATGAGTTAGTTAGTTATTGCTTATACTCTGTAATTGGAAATTTTACTTTTATGATAAAAGTACCCGAATCCACAGGAATTATCAGTTACCCAACCTTCACCCATCATAGGTATTAAATCAAGATTGAGTTGTTACCGTAAATCCTCTGGTGAAGCTTGATTGATCCTATGCCGTAGATCATCATCTCCTATCCCTCCTCCACCCCTGCCCCAACCTCCACCTCTACCCCCTCTACTCCAACCTCCTTGAACCCTCCCTCCCCGTCCTCTTTTTATCCGGCCTCTACCCAACCGCATCCCATCCATCAAGTCCTCAATGCCGGCCATTTTCTTCTGGAAAATTAACGAGATATATTGTCTTGCGCGCGCTTCTCTTTGCCGCGTAGAATTGCCTTCTTGAATAGATCCAGGTACAGCCGAGTACTGGGGATAGAGTCATCATTCCCTGGCAGAAATAAAAATTTTTATTATCATTGTTTTACAAAGCGGTAAATTTCAAAGAACGGTCTGTAATGTATATTTTTCGTTTTCGATAAAAAAAGGATCTTTTTACTCCAATAAAATCTTTTTCTACAAAACATACCATATTGCTATTGGATCGAAAACTTAAAAAAATCTTCACATTCATAAAACGATATTCAATGGTTTTATGAGAAATATTTTTTGGGCAACTTGTAAAAATTTACGATATTAAACCTTGTTAATTTTAGATTTACGTTGCAAAAATAAACAATTTGACAAAAGAAATCCTTCTTTTTGTTTTGAAATAAAGAAAAACATTTTTAAAAGCTATATTTAGAATATTAATTTTACCTGGGACTGGATAGGTTATAAGATTAGGATTACAATCAGTATCCACGATTCCTATAAAAAATGTTTTTCATAAATTAATATAAATTCACGACAGAAAAAGAATAAGAATTTAAAAGAATAATTGCTGATTATCCAATTTTTGATATGATTTAATGTTACTTCTTTATATTATCTAACAACATTTAGTGTGTTTTCATATTATTTTTATTTTCTAACAATCAGAAAAAAATTAATTCTCGAAATGAACAATTTACTGACCTACTGTTGGAATACCAACTTTAGCCGAGTCTAGGATAGCTCTATGTTCAGCATACTGCTCAGATCCTCGACAGTGCAGAATAATTACTAAAAATGAAAGAATAAAGGAACTGAATACTCGCCACTTATTTTTAAAACCTTTTATCTTTGCAACCTAATATTGTAGAGACCTTCGATATTTCGAACTTTGCATTCTGTTAAATCTAATTGTCTAAGTCGTAAATATCTATGATTTACACCATCAGGTTACACCGATATCAGTTATTCCTATTCTAGTATGACAGAAAGTGCATAAAAAAGTAGTTATCTTTAACTAGTTCAACTTTTCGATATTTTTTATTCAATCTATAGTCACTTTAATTTTCGTAGAACATAATAAAAAAAGGAGTAAAATGATAATGGCTTGGTAACCCAGAATTAAAAATTGTTAAACCAAGCTCAGAACATTACCGCTTTTCTACCAAGCTCCCCAAACAAAATTGTGGCATACTCAGAAATTTGCCCGGGGGGAGGGGCTTAATTTTTTTCCAAAGGGGTTGCTCAGCTCCCTTATATAAAATAAATACAGTTACCTAGATCTGGTAGTCGCACCTCCTGTCCAAATTTAAGCGTAGAGGCGGTGAATGTATCAGTAGACCACTGTCGAGTAAAACTATATTCTCCACACTCTAACAAACCAAAACAAATTTCCAAACCAAATATATCAAAACTATATATTTCCAAACCAGATATACCAAATATATCAAAACTATATATTTCCAAACCAGATATATAAAAAATATATATTTTCAGACCAAATGTAACAAAACCATGTTTTTCCAAACCAGATGTATCAAAAAAAATATTTTTAAACCAAACATATCAAAACCATATATTTTTGCAAACCAGATATATCAAAAATATATATTTTCAAACCAGATATATCAAAACCATATATTTCCAAACCAGATGTATCAAAATATATATTTTTAAACCAAACATATCAAAACCATATATTTGCAAACCAGATATATCAAAAATATATATTTCCAAACCAGATATATCAAAAATATGTATTTTCAGACCAAGTGTTACAAAACCATGTTTTTCCAAAACAAATATAACAAAACCGTAAATAGCTATTCCAAATATATTAAGACTATCTATTTCCACCCCAAATATTTCAAAACCATAGATTTTCATATCAAACATATATCTATACCAAATATAACAAAACCGTAACAAAAATATCCTAACAAAATATATCCTTATCAAATGTAACCAAACCTTATATTCAAACCATTGAATATCATAAACTAAAATTTTTAAAAACTAAAGATAACCACACCATATGTATTATGCATAATGAAATCTGCATATTAAATCAATTACAGTCTAACAAACCCAAATCATATTAAAATAAGGTTCTCAGGGCACCCTATGCAACTCCCCAAACCCCACGTGACTATTTTAAATAAGATTGTGATGGATTATCATTTTGTTCTTAAAAATAAGTCTTTTATTACTTACAAGCTAAAGTGCCAGGCGTTGCCCGTGAAATTTTTTTTTAAAAATTATTTAAAATTATTTTTTAACTTATTGCACCTCCCAGGCTACCCATTCGGTCCAGCCGTTTGGCCGACCAGAGGGAACATTATCATATAGATTGAACTGAATTGTACAAACAAATTAAGCAGTTTTAAACGTCGTAGTAAAAATGTAAAAACCCCCATTGCAAGTATTTTGGATTTGCACACCTAGTCTATGTTAAAGCAATAGTCTTGAGGATTCCAAAATGCTATGTCTGTGCCCCAGATCTTTTCTTTGAAGTAAATTTTAATCAGGGAGAACCTTGATGTATAATGTGTATAGTGTATAGTTTATATAATGTATATAATGAAAAAAAAAATGAATAAATGTATGATAATTAGTATTGGTTCCTATTGCTGCTTTATCAACCATATGAATAAGCTGAGGTTGACGACAAACAAATAATATCAACCCGTTTCTAGTCAACCATCTTTTCAATCAATCAGTTTATATATCATTCACCAAGAAGCCATTAACTAATTAATAAATAAAGTAATTAACTAATTATTGAAATAATGAATTATTATAAAAACAAATGAATATAAGAATAAAAAAATGAAAAAATTAATAAGAGGAAGAATGAATGAACAAATGAATAAGAGGATAAATGAATGAATGAGAGGATGAAAGGATGAATAAATGGATGAAAGGATGAATAAATGGACGAAAGGATGAATAAATGAATGAATGAGTAAAATGAAAGGACGAGTGAAAGGAGAGGATGAATGAATGAATGTATTCTATGTGTATGAGAAAAGAGTGGATAAAGGAATGTTCAAAACAAATAATTGACTGAGAAGTGGGTTCCCTGTGTGCTATATGTGTATGAGTAAAGATAGAGTGGTTAAAAGAATGTTCATAACAAATAATTGACTGATAAGTAAGTTCCCTGTATGCTATATGAGTACAGATAGGGTGGATAAAGGAATGTTCAAAACAAATAATTGACTGAGAAGTGGGTTCCCTGTGTGCTATATGTGTATGAGTAAAGATAAGGTGGATAAATGAATGTTTAAAGCAAATAATTGGCTGAAAAGTGGGTTCCCTGTATGCTATATGTGTATGAGTAAAGATAGAGTGGATAAAGGAATATTTAAAACAATTAATTGAGTGAAAAGTGGGTTCCCTGTATGCTATATGTGCAGTAAAGTTTAAAGCTTGTCTCAACAGTAATGTTGTTTGATCCAAATCAATTATATTCTGTCCAAACCTAAACAAATAAATTTAACAAAGTAAACAAGACCAATGAAATAATTAGTCGTAAAGGTTTGCACGTTGCAAAAATGTTTTTAAGGGGGGGGGGTATTTTGAGATTAAAAGTTGTTTTTAAATTTACTAAATAACTAAATTTCTACCACTTTATTTATTGACATGTCATTGTTTACCCAATATCAACAAACAAATTAAAATACTTTTGTAAACAAACAGAATTACTTACAAAGAATGAGACTTTTCAGACGACCTACATTATTTCAGTTTGACGACCTGAAGGTTAAATTTGCCTTTCTGCTTTTAATATTTACTTTAACAGGTAGACTCAATGATTTGAAAGTAAAAGAAACACAAGGAATCATGAGGTCTGATCCTATGTGGGTAACTCTGTATATTTACTGTATTAAACAACAACTACCTTGTGCCGAATATGAATTGATTCATTCTAGGATCCATGGCTGTTTCCTTGTGTCCTAGATGTACCCTTGCATCAAATAGATCCTAATCCAAGGGGAATCATGGTTCAATCCAATACAAAACATTAAGAAACAGTTCAGTTACAAAGTACATAATAGTACATTACATGAGTACAGAGTGGAGTACAGTATGGTGCATTACCGCCAAGTATAGAAAAGAGAAGACTGTGCACTGTACAATTCAAATAATACAGTACAGTGAAGGTGTACAGGCTTGTAAATTACAATGCAGCACAGTTAGTCCGGTTTAACACAGTACAGATTGAGTCAAAAATGAAGAAAAAAGAGATATTTTTTATATTTATCTTAAACTTTTATGAATATTTTTAAAATTTATTTTCTTCTTCTCAAATTATTGATGGAAAATAAAATTTTGTTAAAAAATGATCAAATCCATATTCTTTCCTTGACAGTAAATAGTTTGTTGACTCCGAAATAATCCTGATGCTTGAGAGAATCCTCTTCTTTAACCTCAAGCCTCCGAGGCTCATGGAAAACCTCCGCGGACAGCTGTCTGATAGAACCCTTCGGTAATCGGAGCAGTAGCTTAGAGAACTGTAACATTTTTATCTGAAATAAGGTTCATTTTTATATCTTCAAGTTGATAGTAGTATATATACAGTGAGGCCCATACATCTCATCTGTGTAATATGAAGACGACATTTAACCAATCTTTTTGTATCTGATGTTATAAAGCAATTAGTTTTACCAATAGCTTAAAATTCAAATAATATAGTGACAGGGGTTGTTCACACTAGACACTCACAATTCACAGCTGCTGTGTTTCATGTTGATTGGACTATCTAGATTATATAATTTTAGTCGTCTTCCCTATTCCAAATCACTGTATTAGAAAGAATGAACAGTTTATCTAAATGTTTTGGCTTGATAATGCATTTCACAGACAGTAGATTTCGAGCATTTACACATTCCACGGCAACCAGAAGCAGATCCTTTAGCAAGCTTCTTCAATACATTCTCCTCCTCAGTTCCCTGAATATATCGTTGTCGTTGTCGTTGTCGTTGTCATTATCATTTTCATTATCATTATCATTCATTATCATTAACACTATCAATATCAATATCAATATCAATATCAATATCAATATCATTATCATTGTCATTGTCATTGTCATTATCATTATCATTATCATTATCATTCATTATCATTAACATTATCAATATCAATATCAATATCAATATCAATATCAATATCAATATCAATATCAATATCAATATCAATATCATCATTATTATCATTATCATTATCATTATCATTATCATTATCATTATCATTATCATTATCATTATCATTATCATTATCAATATCAATATCATTATCATCATTATCATTATCATTCATTATCATTAACATTATCAATATCATTATCAATATCATTATCATCATCATCATCATTATCATTATCATTATCATTGTCATTGTCATTGTCATTGTCATTGTCATTGTCATTGTCATTATCATTATCATTATCATTATCATTATCATTATCATTATCATTATCATTATCATCATTATCAATATCATTATCATCATTATCATTATCATAATCATTATCTACCTCTGCAGCAGTAGGTTGGAAAATACTGGTACTGGTTGTGAAGTCAAGTTTAGAATCCTGAGCTTGATATGTCTTCGTGGGATCATACGGCTCCCATCTTGAACAAAATCACATTTAACGAAAAAATATTTTATTTTAGATTAAGATTTGTATGTTTTTAATGATACTATTAAGGAGATATTGATGAGAGCAAAAGATTTGAAATCCTAATATTTACGTACCAGATATCATTAAATAAATAATTCCTTTAAAACTTGTGTTCTAATGATTTAGTTCACAGCCGTACATAATAAAATCAAGAAAAATTAACAAAAAACACGATTTCACACTGAAACATTGATAAATATCTGTACTAAATTGTGCTATATTGTACTGCACTGCACACTGTGCTGTACACTGTACTGTACACTGTACTGTACACTGTACTGTACACTGTACTGTACACTGTACTGTACACCGTACTGTACACTGTACTGTACACTGTACTGCACTGCACTGCACTGCACCGCATTGCACTGTACTGTACCTAGATGCCGGGAAAATATGTTTGTTTCTTTCATACCAGGACCTCAGAACAACCTTTCCAGCATGAGATTCATCCTAATAATTTTCATCCTTTAATTCATCTTTTTATTCATAAACATTGTTATTTTTACCCAAAATAATCTTTTTTATAATTCAATCTTTTAAAGATCTAATGAATTTAAAATTTAAACAATTAATAAGTATAAAAATAAAAAATAATTTAAGACAACTTCTTTTTTATCTCATATTTTTTTTGAAAAACTAACACAAAACTTCACTTTACTATTCATCGTTTCGGAGTCAAACATACATTTTCAATGGTAGCATCATGTCGCAGTCGAATATACAATCTTTCTGGTAGCATTGTGTCATAGTAGAACAAACCTTTCCTAAGGTAGCATCGTGTGACTGTCGAACATAACTATTCTATCTTAGCATCGTGTCGTGTCATTGTAGAATATGTACCTTTTCTATGGTAGCACATTATATAGTATCGGAGTCGAACCTACCTTTTCTATGGTAGCATCGTGTCGCAGTCGAACCTACCTTTTCTATGGAAGCATCGTGTCGCAGTCGAACCTACCTTTTCTATGGTAGCATCGTGTCGCAGTCGAACTTACCTTTTCTATGGAAGCATCGTGTCGCAGTCGAACCTACCTTTTCTATGGAAGCATCGTGTCGCAGTCGAACGTCGTCGTAGACGTCGAATTGGAACAATGGTCCAGTCTTACCTCTGGCTCGGGATACAATAAAATCCTGCAAAAGTTCAATAAAAAGTTCAATAATCTGCGAGTCTAGAAATTTCAATTTTATTTAGTAAATTAGTAAAATTAGTAAATTAAATTTGACGTTTAATTAAAATCTCATATGTTTTCATTGAAAGTTGAGAAAAACAAAAAATAAGTAACTAAAAATTTACATTATCATAATTGTACGTAAAATCAAATAAGAGGAGCTACGAGGTCATAAAGATAGTTCAGAAAAAAATTGACCTTTGTCTTCATGGATTCTATTTGATCATCTGATAAGGAAAACTATTTGTCTTGCTTGTGTAAATGAATGCCGCGTAAATAAAAGACGATGATGTAAACGTACGTAGAATGTGTTATGCTGTGGAATGATGAGATCCTCTTTAACGAACATAAGTTGGTCAGCTGATGCTATCTTTAGTTCAGGGTACTCTCCACGGATGGATTCCAAAACCTTCAAATCAAATCATTATTAGTTTAGTTTCATAATAAACATATGTCGTAAGTCGGATATTGCTGTAGGTCAGACATTCCGTAGAGGGGATGTTGCGTATCAACAATGTGACATTAGCGTTTAGTTCTTATTGTGAGCGTAATAATTTACAAGTTTCAGATCAGCTAATTCTACTGAACAGGGTTCGCAGAAAACTTTCCTAATATATTTTCTCTGTGAAGGAACTTTGAATATTAAGTTCGGAATATTCACCACGGATACATTCCAAAACCATTGTTTAGTCCTAATTGTGAGCGCAGTTCAAGGTTTCAGTTCAGGGTTTGCTAACTTTACTTCATTTGAATGAATATTGAAGATTTGACGAACTCCAGTCGCGAGGTTCATGTAAAGATTTCTACAGAAAATAAACGAGGAAAAATTGGTTGAGATGTTCTAGACAAACGAAGACATCATTCATCCTATTTTCTCTAAGGTTACGTGACGCAGAGAAAATGAGCTTTAGCCACAAAAAGTATTTTTTTAATTCCTGTATTGTAGACCTTAGATATTTCAAATTATAAATTTTGTTACTATTAAAGAATTTAAGTTTAAAATATTAAAGGTTAACACCATTAAGTTTCAAAGGTATAAGGATTAGAACATTTGAGTGTGTAACAAAATCTCAGTTTCTTTCCAAGATAAGAGTTTTTAACTAACCTTACAAAGGAATTGATAAATAGTATTTCCTTTTTTAGAAAATATAGTTTTCCTGTGTCCAGAACCATCCCAGTAACTATAGGTTATCTCAACCTGCAAACAAAACATTAATTTAAATTAGAATGTTAGGGTCGTCTTACTAATAATATAAAAGTTAAAATCTTATAGTGTTATCATATGCCAGCTATGCTACATAAAAAACATATTTTAACTTTAAAGGAGAAAGGTAAAAAAAATTTTAAATATTAAATGAATCAAAACATTTAAAAAAAAATTTGTTGATTTGACAAGATTGATAATTCCGAGGTCAAAACTTTCTTGTTTAAAATCAATTCCTTTTGTCGTGTGAGAAGATTAATATCGAGTACAGACTTTACAGATCACTTAATGTTTTGTACCTCCTCCTCCTTTATCTGTTTCTGCTTGGACTCCCACTGCTGTCTCAACTCCTCTCTCAACCTGTTCTCCTGAATCATCAAGTACAGTACAGTTTGTTTACAAACAATGGCGTCATTCAACAATAACTGGAGTACAATTCAACATAGACTTAAGTATTAAAGGAACCATGATGTCCTTCCAAAGCCAGAATTATGTTTTCTATTGCAATAATCTTTTCCTCCGTGAATGGGACTGTAGTCGTTATTTCAAGTGACCTTCCATTTAAAGAGTTTCAAATTCGTTTCACAACAGTACCCTTGAAATCTATATCTCAGTATATTTAGAAATTCTGACAATGTTCTTCATTGTCTCTGCAGGGTAAATCCGGTTACAATTAATGTTTTAAGAGAAAAATAGAAAAAATATTCAGCTAAAAAAAGGATATCTCATTCATCCTAGATTAGACAAAGGTTTAAGGTTGCAAATTTAAAATGCCAATCTATAAATGAAGGATCAATTGAAATTACGTTGACAGATAGTCATCACTTGACATTACGTGACAGATAGTCATCACTTGAAATTACGTGACAGATAGTCATCACTTGAAACTACGTTGACGGATAGTCATCACTTGAAATTACGTTGACAGATAGTCATCACTTGAAATTACGTTGACAGATAGTCATCACTTGAAATTACGTTGACAGATAGTCATCACTTGAAATTACGTTGACAGATAGTCATCACTTGAAATTACGTTGACAGATAGTCATCACTTGANCATCTTCTCCCTTTCCGTACCTCGTCGTCCCTATCCCTGTCTGGAAGAAATGTTGTATCAACATCAGGATTCATGCCAAACCTTTTCTTCTTCGGAGGAGAATCTTCTTCATTTTCTTCTTCTAAACAGTTTTTAATAAATATTTTTTATTAATAAAATGTACTGATTAAAGTATCAAAGTATCAAAATCTAAGAAAGTACTTAAAGACCAAAAAAGCTCTATTTGAATAAAGATGAACTTGGACCACAGAACTTTTTTGGGTGAAATATATTTTTTGATTTGATTTTGATTTTTTGATTTGATGAATTATTTAATGTTTACCTTCTTCTTCCTCTTCGTCGACGAAAGAAAGAGCTTTTAGTTTCTTTCTCTCTTTCTCTTTCTTCTTTTCTGTTTTTAAGAGGTTCAGAATTATTTATACAAAAACAAAATTCTTCCTATACAAAACCAAGGGAGTTCTTTCTCAAGATTTTCTAATCATTGTGCTTTAGCAACCAGATGGTTCAAGGTTAAAAAGATGTAGAGATTTGAAAATCGGAGTTTGAGAAGAATATTTAGTTTTTTGGCGAAATTAAAAGGCTATGAAAATTTTGCCAAGAAACTTCTGTTATAATAAAAGTGAAAAGCTGGAAAAGTAATTAAGGTTTTTGGTTCTAAACCCATTCCTTTTTCTCTAATTTTATCCTGCTGTTCTTTAATCTTATCCTTCTCTTTCTTTACTAATCTCTTCTCACGTTCCAACATTGCTCTCTCCTGCACATCAAATTTTATAAGATTTTAAACTCTGTTAATAAAAACTAAAATTATTCAGATTTTCAAATGTACTTTTTTTTGCTTCTTTGAAATTGAAATCAAAAGCAATTAGGGCGTTGTTAAACTTTTTCTTTTCTTCCATGCCCCCCCCCCCATCACAGCTTTTTCTTTCTACACACCTTCCCCTATTTCAAATACAAAAACGGATTTTGAAAGAAAATATCATAAAATTTCCTGAGTCTGTTTCATCTGGTCTATGGTGACGAGTCCGATCTAAACAAAAAGATTTTTTTTTTAAATTCTCAGATTTTTTATAAATGAAGATTTTTTTGAAGGACTAGGTTTAAAAAAGGGTAATATTAGGGGTTAAAAAGGATTGAAGTGAAGATAAACTAGAATTAAACTTCTAGGATTGATGTGAAGATAAACTAGAATTAAACTTCTAGGATTGAAGTGAAGATAAACTAGGATTAAACTTCAAGGATTACAGTGAAGATAAACTAGGATTAAACTTCAAGGATTACAGTCAAGATAAACTAGAATTAAACTGATAGGATTACAGTGAAGATCAACTAGGATTAAATTTTTAGGATTGAAGTGAAGATAAACTAGGATTTAACTGATAGGATTACAGTGAAGATAAACTAGAATCAAAGTGGATTAGGTTTATACAACTAGGATTCAATTTTTAGGATTAAACTGTTAACTGACCGTGCTAGCTTTAATCTCATTCTCCACCGCGTCAAAATGTGCAGAGAACTTGTTTTCTATCTTATCCACCTATTTGAAATAAATTTGTTATACAGAATGTTATACAGAAATGTTATACAGAATATATAGTATAGTATACAGAATCCAAATATATAGTATAGTATACAGAATCCAAATATATAGTATAGTAGACAGAATCCAAATATATAGTATAGTATACAGAATCAGAATCATTATTTTGTTCATTTAGTTCACTTCATTTTTCTTCATGTTCATTATTTCTAATATTGTGATTTTTATCCGTAGTTATCTTTTTTAATTTTATTATACTCAATTTGTTTAAGTTGTGCTTTTTTGTTATTCTTTTAAGTTTTGAAATTATTTATGACATATTTTAGTTTTCCAAATTTGTTTTGTAACATATTAATGATTGTATTTACATGGAACTTTTTGCAAAAAAATCAGTTTTGTCCAAAACTATATCAACAATACTGAATAATCGCCTCAGACTCAAATTTTCTGTCCCCATTTCTTTGAAATAGTTCATTTTCTCCTACCTTGAGACTGTCAGACAACTTCTTCTTCCTGAACTCGGCATCTTCCATCTCCCTCTCACGGGCCTAGAATATTTTACTGTATTTCTAAAGGGACTGTAAACGTAGTTTCAAGAGAACTTCCATTTAAAGAATTTCAATGGTACCCTTTAAACCTTTACTGAAACAAGGATGACGGACTTTTCTTTATTTACCTACAGAAACTACAGAAACCTTAGTAATTAACATATTGTTTTAAATTAAATTGCAAATCCCTGTGAACTAAATTGAGAAACCAGTGACCGAATTTAAAGAATTTGAGCCGCGGTTTAAATCTGCCAAAACCCGGGTTAAATTAAGCGCCGGCTTAAATCTTGAAATCTTGATACAATTTTAAGTGGAACCAACTATATTTAAGCCACGGCTTAAATTTTAACCGCCGTTCAAATTCTTTAAATTCGGCCTCAGTTTTTCATAGAGATCTTAACAATTTTTAAACCAAGTTAATAACATTCTTCTGGTTCTTACATCTAACAATACACCCAGTCAAAATTTAAGGCAAAAGAAAATTTAATGAGTTATGATCGGAAATACAAACAGAGATTTCTACTTTAATACATATTGTATAAAGATTTCAAATTCCAATATTAGAAAAAAATAGGTTTGCTGGTAGTGGTTTACCAGTTAAACAATATGCCAAAATTGTTGAATCTGAATCTTTAAAGTTGTTAAAGGAGTTTAAGAATGGTTAACGATAGATACGTTGGACGTGTCAAGAATGGTAAAATAATATTTCCAGCTACGCTTAACTACAAAGCGATACCAAATCAGTGTAGCAATACTTTTTTTTCACGGGCAACACCAGGCCCTTCACCTAGTTCTTAATAAATCAATTGAATATGAGACTCCAATTTGAGTCTTGAAGGAACTGTAAACTTAATTTTTATTTTTATTTCTGTGAATTTCTCTATTGTTTCTTCTAAACAAGAAGAATTGTGATCTTATCTTTAATCCTTAATTTAAAATGAAAATGATCAGTTCGTTAATAAAATAGTACCGGGATGAATGTTACAGAACCATTATAATTTGCTAAAAAAATTCAAAACATTCTAAAAATTATTAAAAAATGGAATATAAAACATTTAATAATATATTATGCGTAGGAAGAAAGTGTAATAATAATATATTATACATGTATAATGTATTTTCATTATTATTATTAAAATTTAACCTACAGTCAAAGAATCATGTCCTGTAGCCACATCTTTATCCAATAGAGCTTTAAAATCTTTTATATTTATTTACATCTTACAAATACAACTAAGTATAAATACTAAATATGAAATAAATTTGTGATAAATCTTTTCCCCCTAATTCTCTGATTACTAGCATACTCTCCAAAAATAAACCCAAACCTAGGGAATTACCGCTTTCCGTGAATATATTCCCCTTGTCATGATATAAAGTTTTGAACACATTTTTACTTTTCGTAAAAAATAGATTTTGAATTTTTCAGCAATTGAAAACTAACCTCCCTCCCTCATAAAAGGATTAAATTGTAATAAATTTAAACCCCCGTCAAACCTTGCCAAGCCTAACGGCCCTAAGTCCATCAGCTGCTTGTCCTCCATATGCCGCCATTTTGTTTTTATCTGAAACACACGTGGAAACTTACACAAGCTCGCGAGTAGAATAGAAAATATAAAAGCTCAACATTCAATATAAATATCTGCAATCATAATACAAACTTTCAGCAGGAGAATATTCATCAACAAGGATTTACAAATGGAAATAGAGATTTTCAAGAATTCTTCAAAATATGCTTTTCAAAGCAAGAAAAGATAACATGTGAAAAGCTAGAATCTATAAATCGAAAATTAGGCATTCTGGCTGCGTAATAAAACTTTAAATGAAATATAAGATGGCTTTTTGAGTTTGATGAATAAAAAGTAATTAGAACAACATAAATTATCACAAATATCACACAGTATTCAGAAATTTTCAGTATGAAGACCTTTCGTCTTAAAAGAATTTCTTCTAATAATTCTCTGATAAATGCTAGAAGGATTTAATGTTAACCCCTCTAAATATATATTTTCTTTAGAACAAAATAAATAAAATTAATAAATCTTGTAACAGTAATAAACTAATATCCGTGTAGGTATTGGAAGACCTTTAGAACATGTTTTTGATATTATGGATGAGTTAAAATTGAGTAGAGTGGAGTATTGTATTTCTGATCCAGTATTTGATATGACTAGAGAAGGAAAAATTGAAACCATAAATTAAAAAATGCGCAAAAAAAGAGCGAGAATTGGGAAAACAAAAAGATCTTCATGGAATGTGTACGCGCGATCTATTTAAAACAAAAATTTCAGAAATAAATAATATTTTTTGACAAATTTGACATTTTACCATTGTCTATCAATCTCGATAAGAAATAAGTAGAATATTTATATAAGGATATGAATGTCTAAGATCACAAAAATGGCGTTTGCCCTGAAGCTGCCACGAGACCGGAATTGATCCGGCGGGAAATCACGTGAGTGTTGAGTGTACACTGGACATTATTACATAAGTGAACACTGTTTCTTAAAGTCCATTTCTAACTCTTCTTCCAGAAGTAAAGTGTCTGCTTTTAATCCAGTCACATCTGGGAGGTAATCTTAGAACAAAAGTTTGTAAAATCGTTTGTCTAGGACTTTTTAACAACTTTTGTAGAATAATTAACAAGACTACAACGAGAACCATTAAACTGTAGAATAATTAACAAGACTACAACAAGAACTATTAAACTGTAGAATAATTAACAAGACTACAACGAGAACCATTAAACTATGGAATGGTTAGACTCAAGTTATGACTTTAAACGGCATCTGTGCAGTTGACAAATAACCTTTTCAATCAACTGGTAAAACTATTTGCTTTATTACAGCATCAAATTCATGTATCGTCTTTCTAATCCACAGGTTTATGGGACTCACTGTATATAAAGAATTAATTATTCTTTGCCAGCTAAATTAAAATGTTATGGTATTTGCTCGACTCTAAAAAATGATTTCTAGAAATTCAGCAGACTGAAAAAAATACCTGTCGTAGAAAGGCCTTCTCTTTCATAAAGTAAAATATAAGCCGAGCTTTTATCTATGTTTGATTCTGGAACTTCCTACTCGTTTAAACTCATTTAACAACAAGTAGATTTCCTTGATTGATTTAGGTTTTAATTTAATGAATTTTTTTCTTTGATTTTACATGATTTAAAAGTAAAAATTTGATCAATTTTAAGAAAGATAAAATATCATAAGAATTGTTGTTTTTTCTAAATTAATGTTTATAGTACACAAACCTTTTTTTCGTTATAAATCCATATTGGATATAAATCAAAAGAAAAGCTTAATCTCTAGTGTAAAATAATAGTTGGTAAATATTCCTTGCATGATGAATCATTATGACAAAACCAGTTTCCTGAACTGGTTTTGCTGTACGATACATAGTGTCCTCCTCCCAGTACACCAGAGTGACAAACCATTGCATACATGTTGTACCTAACAATAATACATTTTTGTAATTTTTTCTCAACCTTGTCAAAAATCAAATCAAGTAAAATCAGACTTTTAGGGACGCCCTACATCCACCACCAAACATGAAGTGTTTTACAACAGTAGGTTTGAATGTTTATAGTTTGAAATACAGTCGTAGTCGTATATATCAAAACAATGAAGAAGACTTCAGATTTCAATGGATTAACATAAATATGGGAACAAAGAGAAACTGTCAAATTAAAGCTTCTCTTTGTTTACTTGTAAACTTGTAATTTGAAAAAAAGCTTGTTAAAAATCACAACTTTAATAGAAAATTCGTCTTCATTGTATTGATTCAAACGCCGACCACTGTATATAAAAATATATGAATGTTACTTTATATCAAGTGGATGATGGCCAGGTTCTAAAAGATGTCCATGGAAATCCTTGAGATCATGATCTTCAATAGGATGCTGAACCAAAGATGTCGAGATCTGACGTGTTCTAAATAAATACTTTTTTATCATGTATTAACGGTGCATTGCTCCAAGCAATACATCAGTCTTAAAGGGACTGTAAACATTACTATAAGTGACATTTGCATAAAGGGTAACTTCCGATCAAGTATGAACTATTTATATCTCTGTTTGTAATCTTAAAACTGTTTTTAATTGTGGTTTCTTCACTAAAGTGACATCATTTCTTCATTTGCAATAAGAAACAAGCACATTTAAAATCATAAAAACGACAATATTGTTCAGATAAAGGATTGAGAATCTGGCATTGCCATTTTTGCCTGGAGGGTCACTTAAAAGTACGCTTACAGTCCCTTTAAAATTGAAATTTTAGTCACCAATTAAAAAACAAATATTTCTCCTGTTCTGAAGATATAAGGATAGATTACCTTCCACCCAGGGGTCTGTGACTAGATTTAATATGTTCAGTCTTGTTCGTCAGTTTGGAAAAATTTAAATTTTCGGGTTCGAAAACATCGGAGCTTGCACTCTCCCCGCGCTCCAGGATCCCGTGGCTGTTCCCGCTGTTAGACTCGATCCCAGAGTCGTTGGGGTCCTCCTCAATTCCAGGCTCAGGGGTCGCCGCAGTTTCAGCAACTCCAGGTTCATTTAACCGTCGGCCGGTCGGCGGGATCACCGGCGGTAACGGTTCGCTAAGTTCGGCGATCGTTTCGGCTTTGCAACTTATAGAGGGTAATCTCCCAGCTCTTTTACTCAACTCCTTATACCTAGAAAAGGGTCAAGTTAAGATCCCAGAAAATTCAAAGAAAAGGATTGTTTTTTAGAAAATGAAAATAAAACTTATTATTTGAAGTTTTTATTTGGCCCGCTAAATTCTGGATTTTTAATGCTAAAATTAAGAGCATTCAATTTCACCTGATTAGGGTTTCTGCTGGCACTGCGGCTAGGTATTTGGTTAAATCTAAACCAGAAAATGGAAAATCCACAATTTTGTGAGATTTTATCCACTTATTATTAACGCACTGGAACCTCTTGAGATGAACGATGAGTATCGGCGGTAATCGCCAGATCTGAAGTTTCTTCACCGCCAATTGGTGAGTTCTAGAAAAAGATATCACGTGATTCTTTATTATGACCTGTCAAGTTTTTTATTTCTGATCACAATGACTTAATAAAAGATCAGTTCAGTATTTGAGATATAGACTTCACTTCATTGTAGAATGAATTCCACAAAATTAGAAAAAATCGTCAAAAAAGAAATAAGCAGAGAATTGGATAAGAACTAGATATGCTCTTAGAATTACTTTGTGCAATAGTGACAAAATTAAGTAGTTTTCTTACAGTTTTGCCTGATAAATTGATTAATTGATAAGATTATAATAGTTGTGTAATTGATAATAAAAAATTTGAGTAGTTTTCTTTTTTTAAAAGTGGAAACAGTTTTGACTGATAGATAGATATTGACTTACTTGCAGGCGGAGCAGTAGTACTTCTCCTTCTCCCCCAGCTGTTCCTCCTGGGTGAACGCCTCCAAACATTTACCCAGGGTGATAGGCTCAGTAGCAGCCCGCCTACTCTCAGCTACACTGGAGTCCTCATGCCACGCCCTCTCAGCACCAGCCAGGTAGCGCAGATGAAGGGCGGTCGGGTCCCAATCTTAAATTATAAAAAATGGAGGAAATTGAAAGATTTAAACACTTTTTAATTGAATAGAACGACGCAATCTTCCACATAATTATTCAGATATAGGCTTAAAGGGTACTGTTGGGAATCAATCATGTCCCTCTTAAAATGGAGAATGACTGTAAGGTAATGTATCAACTAAAATGTACCGATAGCAAAGAATGACGATGGAGTGGAGAGCCGCTCTGCTGTGCAGGGTACAGGACACCCTCGACACATACTACTCCAGGAGCAACTAGAGCACCAGGAACCATTACTCTTCACTGTCTTGAGTATAAACGGATATTCATATCCGAGACTATCATCACAATCTGTAGCATGGTTAGACGCAGCCTTGTCCTGCGGGGGTAGCGGGGATATAAGCCGGGCAACCTGCTCCCAGACCCAACCATACAATTCTAAATAATTAAAATTATAACAATAAACATTAAAAATAGCCTAGGCCATTACCAAGACCATGACCATGACTACGACAATGACCAAGTCGATGACCACGACAACGACAACAACAACGACGACAACGACTACGACGACGACGACGACAACAACGACAACGACAACGACAACGACGACAATGACAATGACAATAACAATGACAAAATGACAAAATGAAAGTGACATGGTCATGGATATGGTCATGGTCATGGTCATCGTCATCGTCATCGTCATCGACCATGACCATGACCATGACCATGCCCATGACCATGTGACCATATTACCTTGTCCTGTAGTTTCTGAAGTATAGCTAATAACTAGCGGAATCCCAAAGAGTGCAGGTCTATACTTCTCGCTGGAAAGAAAATAAAACTCCTGGGGTAGCATCTTACGGTGTAAACAGACAACTATACCCTGCAACAAAATAGTTTAAATTAAATTTCTTTCTCTCTCTCGTCTTGTTTCTAGTAGGACAAGATATTTTTATGTTAGTTTTTGATCTCATTATCTATGATTATCAATTAATTTCTTTATTGTCTGATCTATTTCTGTCAAATTGCAATTTTTCTGTTAAATTGTCCATACATTGCTTATCGGGAATTGTCATCCTTTCTCTTTTACGTCATCATGTCTCTTGTCTAATTTATCGTCTTTCACATATATGATGACGTTTTGTCTGGCCCCCCTGACCATGTTACATATTGTCTGTTTATCTTCTGCATATTGTCTCTTTATTTTCTATTTCTAGTCTGTTTATTGTCTGTTTATTGTCTGTTTATTGACTGTTTATTGTCTGTTTATTGTCTGTTTATTGTCTGTTTATTGTCTGTTCATTGTCTGTTTATTGTCTGTTTATTGTCTGTTTATTGTCTGTTTATTGTCTATTTACGTATTGTCATATATTAACTCTTTAAATCTTATTCCACGTCACTTTTGAAAATATTTCATCTACTCTCCACTCTTCTATTTATTCATAGTCTGTTAAAGCCTATCGTCTCTTTAATCCGGGGCCTTTTATGATTTATATCTCTTAAATAAGCACAAAACTTTCCTCTCTAATCCCAAAACAATATTTTAATCGTCCAGGCTGGTTCTAAGTCGAATTCTATGGCACTTGATGATTAACTATTTATCGTGAAAACATAAAATCTGAACCTGAGTGTAATCTCCTAGATGCGTGGGTAGAGTTGAAGCTGATGAACCCCTGTCACTATCTACAGTACCGGAAGTGAGAGTAGAACTAGCGCTTGATCCACGTGAATGTTGTCTCTGCTCTTCACCACAGCTTACTACCGTCTCCTCCTCCTCCTCCTAAGAAACATGCAATTGAAAAAAGTTTCATGTTTTCCAGCCATTTTGCATTACAAAAATTTGTTCCAAATTCTAAAAAACGAAGTTATTTTTTTGGCGTTGCCCGACGTTCGTGGAATCTTCTTAAATATTTTTTTTAATCGATTTAAAAAAAAATTGTCTTCCTAGAGGAGGGGGGAGGGGTATATTAATGTTAATTCTGAAATTTTTTGTTGGAAAAGCAGGGTATTAAATTCAGAATTCACAGACATTATAGTTTTAATGTTTTGAGTTTATATTCATGTTTTCGTTAATATCTCGTAATCACAGATTATCGTAAAAAAACAAAAATAAAAACCTGGAATAGAAGACTCCAAATTAACCTGAATTAGTGAAGAATCACTGGTAGGAGATAGATCTGATATTTCTGTTCTAGATTGTTCTTCTGCTCCCTGGTCAGCAGGGTCAGCCTGGTTCCCGGATACAGGAGGTGCCTTCACAGATTCAACGATATAGGTGCACCCAGTTCAGGATTGAAGTGAAAATTTTAAAGTGGAAAAACGACGATATCTTTCACAATGTTAAATTGGGTACCGTTGTGAATCGAAAATTCATTCCCCCTAAATGAAGGGTTACTTAAAATTACGTTTACAGTCCCTTGTAGGGGTTTATTCTAGTTCCCAAGGTTCCTCTAAGAGCTGATAAGGATCAGTTTCGTATATTTCATTTGATGTCAATCTTCCAGTTTGTCAACGTTGCTTTAAGTTCAACCCTTATTTTAAAAATGCAATTGAACGCTTATATACTTAATTATGATGTAAAATATTCAGTTTGAAATCTTTTAAGTGTCAGAAATGTTCTTGTTTGTATTTTCTGTCTGAAGAAAGTCCGAAAAATTGTAAATCATCAATTTTCGGATGAATAATAAGGAATTTTTTATCATTGATGCTTGGATCAATGTAACCCCCCCTCCCGTCCGTCACCCAAACTAGAAAGCATGCATAAGAGATGAAGTGGTAAAATTAAAGATTAACTATATAAGCTATTTAGGAAGAATATATGATAGTATAATGAAGGAGCATCTACAAAAAATGAGAGTAAAAGACTTATATTCCAGACTTAAAGGAACTGTTGAAGTGATTATTAGTGAGACTTCATTAATAAAGTAACATGCCCGATTCAAACCACCTGCTTTACATGAATTCTATATTTTGGTTTTTTAATAATTG